ATGAATTGTGCGAATAGCTCCTCAACTTTTTAAATATAAATATTAAAATAACTTATTAAAAAATTATACTTGATAAGTTATTTATGTGACTGAGTTATTAAAAAGAATAAATTTATTATTTAATTAATAAATTTAACTCATGTAAGGATCAAAATTTCTTTTATTCAGCAATTTCACATCAATGCCAACAAAGTGTTTATTTATATTATTCCGCTAATGTTTTTTTAATTTTCTATATATAATTTCGGGTGCATGAAGCTTGTTCCGTCTAAAGAGTGGTAAAATGTAAAACCGATGAAAAGAAGGGTTTCCAGAGGCTATCGTACGATAACGAGTGCAATGGGAGGTCCAACTCCGACGCATCGAAGAATCTCGGAATCGTCTACCGCTGCCTTCGAGCACGTGCGATTGTACGTCTTTCCTTTGGTGGGGTGGGTTGAAGAAATCTTTTTTAAGTGATTTTGTGAACTAAACTTGGTACAGTGTGGGCAACATGCATTAATTTCTTGGAGAGAAGTCGATTTGTCAAAAACAATGTATTGGAAGAGAGTGAGAGATGAGAGGAATGAAGCAACCACCAAACTGGTTGGGCCTTTCACTGCCAAACTTGTTCGGTGGAGTTATAGTTTCAATTCTTCCAACAACCGCTGTTGGTTATTGTTTTGTGAATTGTCAGCGAGTTTCACTCAGTGACAATTCTCTTTTGTTTTCGACTGCATTCGGATGCAGTTATCTCCGTACGGGAGAATTGGAGACGAGTCAAATGCTCTATCCTAATATTTCCTCCTTGATTTAGGAGCAGGGGCCGAATGCTAAATCAGAAATTGTACTGCTACTGATAAATAATCTCATTGATCTCTCCTTCTAAGTCACAAATCACAAGTCGGTCACTCCACTATTTTAACCATAAGAATGACGGCTTAACCCTCTTTTTGCATGGTAACGTAATTTAACAATGATTGAACAATCCCAACCGAAAAGACACAACTACATCAGAAAAGATAAGAAGTTCTGCTGAATTTCCTTTTTCTAGGCCTGCCCAGTAGTGATGTTGGGCTACTTGGTTATTTTGGTGGGTAACAGCAGCAACTAGCAGCTAGTAGCAGTATAAGATCACAATATAATTAATACAAAGAAAGGGAAGGACAAGAGCAGGGTGTACGGGTTCAATTTCTACAACAGTCAGGTTTAGCAGCAGACTGCAAGTGCCATGTGAGTGTGGTCCGCTCATCTGTTGGTGTCTTAACTGCCATTGCCATTTGGCCATGAATATGCTCAAATGGTCCCCTCCTAGTCCTACCCCTCTTCTCAACCACCTTCGAGCACAAGCTCCTTTCTCGGTATTTTGAAATATCCACTATCAGATGATGATCCAAATAAAAATAAAAATAAAAGTTGGTATCAGTTTCTCTCCCTCACCCCCTCCCTTTATTCAGGGTTCCAGGACGATGATACAATACAGCAGTCGTACTGTTATAGTACTATTGGTTTTTTTTCTTTTTTTTTTTTAATTTAATATTTGGAAACAGATGGTTCGAACTTATTTCATGTATCATCAAGGGTTGTAAACCTGGTCAGCTACCAAATGCTTGGACGCTTAGTTCAGTTTTTTCTCCTTGTATCAATATACGCTATTCATGGCCGCAGAATTAGACTTTTGTGCTGAAAAATCCCATCAGTACTGTCAATGTTTCTCTTAATAGGATATTTCGTTCACAGATGGAAACACATGTATCATAATTTCAAGAGTGACGGGCCACCAGCCTCCAAGATACCTATACGAAACCAACCAAAACTCGTTTGTTTTGTTCAATCATGTTCCTGTTGCTTGCTACAGCTCTTGACCTTAATGAATTTAATTCATATACGTTATATATATCTGATATAAATAGTTCGAAATAGAATTGGTGCATGTTGTTTGGTCAAGTAATTGCCACCAAAATGATGCACACCATAAATCTTGATTATTCATGAAATGAATTTGAAATCTTGATCTATAATGCATGATTAACCTTTTTTTTCTATTAATCTGTTGTAAACTTATGCAAGAAGTTCATACATAAATTACAGAATTTTGCATATGTTACTTGAATATAAGCATGAATATTATTTTTATAGATGATTAAGATCTCTAACCGTAAGAACTTGAATCCAACCCCAAAGATATATCAGGCTTTATGTTTAAACAGCTTAACATATTTTGGGCCTACCTGGGAGTGAAGAGAGTGGGCCTACATATGGGTTGGGCAATCGAATTTGTTTTGGGCTTAATCTGGAGACTACTGTATTAATTGGCCTATCCATGGTAGATATTTATTTGGGCCATACCTGATTTTGAGAGAAAAGACTGTATGGCCCGGTGACCATTCTTACCCAATAAGGGAAATTCACTTTTTTTCACCAAAATATAAAAAGGAAATGTATGAAACTAAATGACTAAAAATTAAAAGAAAAAAAACTCTCCTCTCAAAGAAGAACATGTAGATTGATTATGCCTTTTTTTCTTCTTCTTTTGGTGTTGTACAGTAATTTCCTTTGATCTGTCTTTTTTTTCCTCAGCTTGTTAAAATGGTGGTTGAGATATATGAATCGTTTGTTTGTGTGATTTACAATTAATTAGGTGGACATAATTGTGTGTCTGAATTCCTATTGCGTGCGGAAAGGGAAAAATGGAACATCATCACAGAGAGTAATAACTATTCATTTATGATAAAAATGGAAAGTCCTTGGAGATGTTAGTCTAAAGGTTTCTTGCTTTCCATTTTTTGTACTTTAATGACTAAAATAGATGACATATCATTCAAATAAATGGAGTTAAATTTCAGTACTACTAATATAAAACATGGGGTTTGCATGATACACATAAAAAGAAAAAAAAAACAGAAAAGAAAGCTAGCCAAAACCAAAATTAAACAAAATGCATCTATACCTTTTACTGGCCTGGACTGTAATTGAAGAAATAATCAATCAAAAACAGGCAGGACAATATCTTCTTTGTAATCATCTTTGTGTTTGTTACTATGTAATGTATGATTATTGTATTGTCTTTGTTTAAACTATTGGTTTTAACGAAGATAGTACTTTTCCTTTTTAATGAAAATATATATATATATGTATGTATGTATGTATGTATATAAAAATAAATGAAGAAGAGTCACACAGAAGAAAGTGTGGACTCCATCGATCCAGGAAGTCTCAGTACAGAAAAAACAGCAGAAAATCAAGCTGCCCAGAAACAGAAAGAGGCAGCAAGCAAAAATCAGCACAAAACAGCTAATCAACACAAAATAAACAAGGAGAAGATGGCTTTCTTTATTATGTGAATCTCATATAATATAGTCTTTATTAATATATCATTATTTAGTAAGTGATAAGTAAAAAAGAGAAACCTAAATAATCCAATTTGAAATACACTTTTCATCATGGAGAAGTGGGTGTTTTCACAGAATTTATAATGGTGGCGAACTGGTATAAGCAGAAGTCTAGCATCTGTGTAGTTGTAAGGGAGGATCCACACTGCTCAGGTTTAAGGAAAAGGGAAGTTTTACATGCAGGAGGTTGGGGTAAAGTTTTTCATTTAAGAGTTGTTACGAACATGATTTCTTTTCTGTCAAGGGATTGACTGTCACACCTTCAAATTAACCAATCCAATATATTTACAAAGTCTTCAGAATTAAAAGCTAATATATCACACATGTCAACCACTTAATGGAGTGCTGGTCGAGTTCAATCTTTTCTGCGAGAGTTGCCTCAAGGTTCATTATATATATATATAGTTAATGCTAGCTCTTGATTGAAGTCGAGTTGGTCATGCTTGTCAAAGCAACATAGAAAAACAGGATCCGGTTAGGTTTCTTCTCCTCCCATATCATCCTATTTAAAAGAGAAAGGAAAATTTTCACCACCTAATCCTACCCCATATATTGGATGCTACTCAAAGTTTCTTATGTCACTGCAAGAATTATATATAGTAAGTATGTTCATGAAATCTTCGGCAATGATTTATTTATTCTGGTTTAGACCTTGTAATTAACTACGGAGCAAGCCGGGATTCGATCAGACGAGCATACAGGTGGTGGTCATGCATAACAATTCAGTGATGGCTACGAGTGGCAACATCAAGAAAGGGATGTTTTGTTTTATGGGCAAATATTGCAATCATATGGAGTTTGTGATTGGTATATGAAAGTGGCAGGTGTGGAGTACTGAAGCTGAAAAATATTATATGCTATAAAATTTGTTCTTAATTAATTATAATTAAAATGTTTGATTCATACCAAAATAAAGATTGTAAATCTTTGTCCTTGTGTGCTGTGTAGCTATATATTGTAGATACCGTCTTTTAAATATATAAATATATATATATATACATGAATAATTTAATTAAAAAATCTCTAAATTTTAACTCTTTTTTAAAAGATAGTAAAATTTAATTCTTATAAGTTTTAAAAGTAATTTATATACTTGCCAATTAGGGAAAAAATGCAAAACGGATATTTAATTTGGAACAGAAAAAAGTATTGTGGATATATCACATGAGTCAAATCTTGTATATGCCTAATCAATTGTCTATATTTATTTTACTGCTAAGATCTTGTATACTGATCATTAAGTATCTGATCACAGGTGAGCTTTCAGAGCCTTCACCGGAATAAATACATAGAACTGGAATTTTGAGTTACTTACCATTATAATAGAAAAAAACCGATAATGAAACAAAAGAAATACTTACAAGCACTACTGCATACGACTAAATAAAGCCCTGATCATTTTTTTTTTATTTTCTCCGCTCATTTCAGTATTTCATCAATCTGATAGATCACTCTTCTTTTACTTGCATTTCTTGAGGATGTGAATGCATGGAAAATCCCTACATCTATACGTTATGAACTGATTGTATGGGGTTCATTGACCTCAATCACAATTCACAACACATGAAATTGATTACAAAAAAAAAAAATTCTATATAATTACCAGATGAAAAAGTTTCAAGGAAAACCGTGGTTTGATCATATGATTATTATCCCAAAAGTATGTACACAAAAACATGTGTATACATATAGGCTGTATAAGTGCATAAATGTTGGGGAACGAGAGGGTATACAGGAGAACTAATTAAACATGAGATGCAATCAGTATTTACAGCAACAGCAAACACTGGGAAATGCAAACTCCAAGACTATCAAACTTTTAGATACCATCTAAGAAATCTCATGCATGATTGAGTCCTCGAAATAGAGTTCATGCCAGTATGGAGAAGCTGCTCCATTGTAGCTAGAAGTACTGCTTACATCTCCTGGATTGCTGATTGATGTCTCAGTTACTGTGGGAGGAAGGGTAGGGGATGGAAGAAGCCATGATGAATTATCGGTTTGGTTATCTCCTTGGCTGACGATTGTAAAGCTAGAACAGTGGCCCATCTCACTGTTCAATGCTGTTTTCTCACAGTTCAACGATGTTTGGAAACTGAAAGGGACTTGTGGGTCTGGCAAGTGAGATAATAGAGCGGGATGGTGGAGTGGTTGAGAGGTAGTATTTCCAAGTGAAATTGGGGCTGGATTTAGAACCTGGTTTTCTTTAATATCTGGAACTGATGAATTTAATAAGTTGAAAGCTTCCATGTCTGCAATGCCGTTCTGGGAATATGAGTTATTGGTCATTGAAGCTGCCGATTGTACAAGAAATTGCAGGTATTGAAGCCTAGCCAACTGAACAGCTTCTGCCTGCAATCTTACAGTGTGGTCATCTAATGGATTTGTGCTCTCCACGAGGTCTCTAAGGTTGGCCAGGGCTATGAGTTGAGGCAAGCTAGCAAAGATGTCAGTTCTTGGTTGATGGGTCATTGGATCAATTCCCATCTGAATCAGCTTTTTCTTTAGATGGGTATTCCAGAAGTTCTTGATTTCATTATCTGTGCGGCCTGGTAGATGTGTTGCAATGGCCGACCACCTTTTACCCAAAAAAAGAAAAAAGATATGACTAAGAAAGTCTGTATAATGACAAGAAATTTAATTAAAACACAGAAAAGAGAAGTGACTTTCACTAGTATTATATGAAATCAAATTTGGATGCATTTACTTGTTCCCGAGGATGGAATGCAAATGCAGAATTGTTTGCTCTTCATCTTGAGAAAATTTCCCCCTCTTGATATCAGGCCTTAAATAATTTGTCCACCTTAGCCTACAGCTCTTGCCACATCTGTTGAGACCTGAAACGGCAACCATTTGTTTTAGTCATAAAAATGAAGATGAAGAGGCATCCTCCTCAAGGAAAGGAAAGGAGAGAAAGAGATTAGTTAATTAGGTTTTAAAATTTGAACCTGCAAGCTTAGGCAAGGCTCTCCAACTGCCATGGCCGTGCTGCTTTATGTACTGAACCAGCTTTTGGTCTTCTTCAGGAGTCCAAGGTCCTTTCTTGAGGCCATTCTCATCACAACAAGGAGATCTTCCCATGTCGTTTCTATCCTCTCTTCTATATTTGCTTTCGCTTTGCTTGCTTTCCTGTGTCACCGCCAAAACTCATCAGGCATGCTATTTATAAACAGTCTTTAGTGGTAATACTTCCTGTGTTTGATCGCTAATTATTAAAAAGAAAAAAATTTCTATGACTTTTGTTTGGCCATTAAGATTGGGACACTTCTTCCTCTCAAGCTTATTTCACTATTAGACTAGAGACATGCCAGTCGCCTTCTTTAAAAGACCAATATATCCTTCAGCTTTTATATCTAGGCAATAAAAACATATATACTTTGTGAGAAAAAATGTCGGATACATCGGGAAATGTGAAAATAAAGGGCAGACTGTAATGTCTTTTTCAAGGGCTCCCAGGGAACTCGCGAATCGGGTTTCGTAAAGCTTGGCGACGCGAAATTGGTCAAAGGGAACCCATTTTCAACCCACTTCATGCACGCAAAGGGGAGCAGAATATCTTTCGTCATATACTGCCTGCATGGCTTCAAAATTTCTAACGTCGTACTAATTATTTTGGATTTCTTGATGAGACTTGTAAATTTTGGGAATCTACGTGCCAAATTACTCAATCATTATAAATTGAGCAATATTAATTATTTACTATATTTTCTTTCTGTAATACGACACATGTAGTGACAAGTATAAGACAATGGAAGTGCAACAGGGTCGATTGATGAATGTCGTACCATGAATAAAGCATAAAAGGAGTCTTGATAAATACTTTTATTTGACTATGAAATTCTTAGGCTAGTTTTAGAAGGGAAGTAGGAAAGGATTTGGTCTTTAAAAATTAATTAAGATACTAAAATGTCTAGCCTAAGTATTCCAGTATATATTAATATACTTTAATTTAATTGTTGTATATATATATATATCATTATCAAGAAAAAAATGGGAATATTTGAGAATTAAGAAAGGAGGACTTGGTTTTCCCCGTTAAGCATGCACCTAAATGTTTGTACATCATCAAGGCAAAGATGCATGCTTGAACCCAACTTCTGGCTCTTAAATACATCAAAAACTTTTAGTACGTCTTCATGATTATTTCAACATAAGATAACTGACAGGGAAAAATCTAGGGAAATCATCATCGATTAAATTTAATAACATGGGTGAAAATTATATTGCAACCAACAAGGTAGCTAGCTGTTTTGTTAGGAAAAGACAAACTAGGATATTTTGACTTAGGGTTTGTGCATGGTTGGAATAGAAGTTGGTGCAGCAAACACCCCCAAATCAACACCAGTTTTTTTTTTTTTTTTTTTTTCTGTAAATAAGTCATAAAACATTCTTCACACGATAATTTGTTCAATTGCATTTGTTGCTGGCTTTGTCTTCATCTTTGTGTTTTGTTGCAGAATTTTCCTTTCTTTGATATCCTTTTGGTTTTTTTTTTTAAAAAAAAAACTAAAAAAGCAGAAGGTTATCCTGTGGCACAAGCCAGTGCTTTCTTTTTTGAAAAAAAATGTTTTGTTGAGGAAATAAAAGCTACCAACCCAAACCAGTTTATAGGTTCGTCAAATTTTGAGAAAACCAAATTTAGACAGCACGAGAATCATTCAGCAGAAATTGTATCTTTGCATTTGTAATCATTCAACAAAAGGCAGATAGTATATGATCATGGCAAAAGTCCAGCAATAACCTGAAAAAGTGACTCTCATATGTGAAATGAACCTTCCTACTATTCAATTATCTAGTTTCACATAATTGCATTTTCTTTTCAGTTGGTTACAATTGGGTATGTAAACAAAGAACATATCCTGTAAAGATTTCCATTTTTTGGGGGGAAAAACAATGACCACTGAGCTAATTATATCCACAGAAATTTAGACTTGCAATGTCTATTGGTTATTCCTGGGGTATTTTGGAGATTGCATTAATTTCTGGGCTCTTACTTGTGCAAGATTGGGAACTTACCTTATTTCATAAGCTAAGCTCTTTCAAACCTAAACTCTTCTTTTATTCGTCAATGCAGTTAGTGTCAATGTCAATTGCCAACAGCTACAAGAGTGATAGAGACCATTTGTGGCTATATAAATTTTCCTTTCTACACAAAACCTTACACTGCAAAAGAGGAACTGCACCATTTGCTCGTCTCTCCTTCAAATTAGTTAGTAAAACATTCAGACTTTTTCATACACAGAGAATAGTAATAGAGAATTTGGTCCTTCAACCAAGGTTCCTTGTCGGGTGGACCAGAGTGTGATTTGAATAAACAAAGCTGTGATGTCATATAAAATCAAAGCTTTTAAAATTTTCAGCTTTTTATTTGTATGATCTACGACGTTTTCAAGTGTCAGCTAAACAAACTGATTTGCTTGCTTCAGCAGGTTTCCAACCAATGCATCTAAAACCTGACGTCGTGTCCATCAACATGTTTGGCCTTAATAGCCACGTTCATGATCTCAATATCTGAATGCCGACACATCAGGCTAAAGATCTGCTCCTTTTTATTTGTAAGTAAAAGTTTTCCTCATTATAGTTGAATTCAGTCCCTGAATATATATACAGTTGACAGTTTCTGTTTTCTCTTCCTCTCTCTCTGTAATTTCTTCCAAATTCTTAAAGCCACATTACCCTCCCTGTAATCCACATTAAAATGCTTATAAGGATGGCTTATCGATTAAGCTTGTCTCTAGGAATTGAGAAAGTATATAGGAACAGTTGGAAACCCATTTCAGAAAACTTGTCCTTAAGTCCCTAATGGATAACCTAATCATGACCATGGAATAGATAGAAGAAATAGCAAGAAATCTAGTTGACTTTAAGTTAGCCTGTGGGATCAGCCCTGTTCTCCAGGGTCTCTGTATCCATTTATAATTTAATCATAAACCTAATGACTTTGGTTCTTCCAGAAGCTAACCTAATTCATTGTGTATATGCACAATATAATGTTACTTCTTCTCTGTAAAAGAAAAATGAAAATTAATTTTTAGTATACATTTATGAGGGGTTAGTTAGACTCTGCTCCTACGCCTGAAAATTATAATACTATCAAGTTGTCAGTATTTCCAAGTGATATTTACATACTAAAATATAACTTAGCTAACTTTGAATTTCCTTGCAGCTAAACAAGGGAGAAATCAACTCCGAACGTCTGGTAAGACTTGGAATAAACAACATTAAAACAGGTAACTAAATTGGAGCCCGCAGAATACAATAAAACAATTTATTACACACCTGACCCACGTGAATGTTACTCAACAAGAATACTTCTGACCAGACAGGTGCCACCTCCACCATTGTATACAATCCAAAATCCTAACAACATTCTAGGAAGAAGTTTGAGGAGAAGTATACAGATTTCAGTATATCCTAATTTTTGCATTGTGATCAATTATGAAGCGATGATCAGTGCTTTGTCACCACAGTAAGTATTATAGAACATAATAACATTCTGGCTCATATATTTAGTTCTTGTTCTCCATAGAATGAGGGCAAAACGAATTTGGTAATCAAGATTTCTAAGATTTTCACTGGAGATGTATATAATAAGTTGCAGTCTCCTTCATTCATATGAGACAAGCCGATACTGTCAACTTTTGCCCAACTAGTGCAAACCAAACTATAAGGAATTTTAAATATGTTATGAAAATGTCATGGAAATTGTATATCATGTGAAGCCAGTTGGTTTATTTTATGCTTAACTATAATTAAAAACGTTCTAAGTAGTTGATGCTAGTAGCTTGGAGCTTCAGCCATGCGCTTTCTGTCTCTTACATCTTGACTCCTGCTGGTATTGACTTCAGAAACAGAGCTCAGGCTAGGAAGGGAGAGTGAAAGAGATTTATTTATTTATTTTTTGTGATGGAAGAGTGAAATAGATAGTTAATAGAACCAATTAATATCGAACAATTCACTCAACATCACTCATTTATGGAACAATCTGACTGGTTACCAGTCCAATCTGAAGTTCAACAAATTTGAAGTTAAACTGATTGTGGGATGTATGTTGCAGTGTTTATAGTACAAGTGATTCATAGTGAAGTATAATAGTATTCTAATGCTAATCCTTGGTCGAATTCATCCTTCATCGTTTTGTGAAGAAGCCGGCTGCAATCGCCTTACAAGATCCTCAATGATCTAACCTAAGAGTGATGTTCCGGCTCTTTGAGTCATGGAATGATTGAACAAATTAACATGTCTGCTTTTTCTATCACCAGCTCCAAAAGTGAATTCACCTAAGAGGTGTAGTAGTATAAAGTGGATAAACATAGTGGAGTCCCCTCAACATGACCACATGATGATGCAGTAATATTTTTGTTAAACATGCATATCTACATATTCCTATTAAATTTGTGGCACAAGAAAAAATAGTGCATATATACATGATTCAATATTCCTATAAAAATAGAACACTTTAATGAAATTTCTTCATGATTCAATAATCAATTGAACAATAAGACATGAAATCCATTGAAAAATTGCTTCTCAAAGTCAACTGGGTAAAGGCGAAAAAAAGTCAACTTTCTAGCTCAAGTTGAAGTCAATAACTAGCTAGAACGGGTTGTAATTTACTTGGATGATGAGATTAAATTATTTTACATTACCAAACACTTGAAAATAGAAATATATATATATTCCAAAGTATCTCAGTGAATATTTTCTTCTGCAGTGGTTAACCTAATCTTCATTTATCATATAAGCAACTAAGCAATAGCATGTTTATATTGGCTTAATCATGATAATTTTTCAAGGGCAACAATGTATCGATTTCGATGTACCATTTGTAATCAATAGTCATGAACCTGAGTGTTTCTTTCCAAAATCCAAGTTCCTCTCAATTAAATCTGCAACATCAAGCAACAAAGAAAAGAAACTGCAGAGAACAAACAAAATTGCCTGGTCATCTCTTCCCACTTAGGTATTTTATTGAGGCATCTAACAAAATAGCCACCACATGTCAGCTCGTATATGTCAATTTTCTATCAATTTTGAAGGATTAAACTAAATCATAGCATACTTAGCAATAAAAGATGTGGCGAAGTATCAAAATTTATTTTCCTTTTTTTTTTTTTGGTTTTTGGTTATTGAAACTAATGATTCAACCTTGGAAGAGATCACTTGCATAATCTTAATAAAAAGAAATGGCATTAGATATAATCCTGGAGAATCTATGAACCAAATCTTCCCTTCTTTATAAAATCAATGCCCCAAGTCCCATTCTGATAAATTATCAACTAGTTTCTCGGAAACGTGCTGCAAATATTTCAATTTTGATAATCCCATTTTATTTCTTAAGGAGTATTAACAAGCTCCTCTCACCTATGTTTTTCTTTATCTATTTATATATTCTTTTTTCTTTCGTGTTGATTAGGCTGAAACAGAGGTAACGGGTGATTCTTGCAGGTTGGCCAGGTTTCAGTAAGTGGGCTAAAGCCCAACTTCTCCGTCTGCAAAAAATCCTAGTGGACATAGTGAGGCCTGTGATCCGCCTCAATGACACTTTGGATTTGCCATCTTATTTCTTTCTTTTCATAAATTCTCTTTTGAAGGGAGCCTAGTCCAGTCCAGCTCAGCCTTTTTTTGAACAGCGTCAATCCAGAACCCAAATGGCTAGCCGGGTTGAACCATTGACCCGTAGGAGGGTCTGGGTGGAACGACAACATTTATATGTTGCAGCCAGTGTCTTACAAGAAGCCGGCATTTTGGGTTTTGACAATGGAAAACATGGGTCAGAAGTCGGTTCTTTTAATATTAAGTTTGATTCACGAAATAGATAAAAATAAAATATAATAATTATTATATAATTTAATATGATAACTAAAATAAGGTAAGAATAATTATTATAATTTATTACAGTATTTAATTGATAATAATAATTTTAAAATAAAAAATAAAAAGATAAAAATATTTTTTATTATATATATGATTATTTATTTTATTTTTAAAAATATTCATATTTCATTTATAATTTAATCATTAACATTATAAAATATTAATATTTTATTTATAATTTAAATGTTATTATAATTATTTATTTAAAATATTAAAAATTGATCATTTAAATATTAATATTTTATTTATAATTTAATCATTAATATTAAAAATAATAATATTTAATTTATAATTTAAATGTTATTATGAGTATTTATCTTTTATTTTTATTTTTTAAATATTAATAATTTATATTTTATTTATAATATTAATCACTTATCTTTTAAATATTAATAGTTGATTATTTAGGTATTAATATTTTATTTATAATTTAATCATTAATATTATAAAATACTATTGTTTTATTTAAAATTTAAATGTTATTATGATTATTTTTTATTGTATTTTTTAAATATTAATAATTTTTTAATGCAAAATATTTTATAATATATAATTAATAACGTAACCTTTTTATTATAATAAGATTTATTTTTTCTCTATTTGTATTTTTTATTTTTTAATTTAAATTTCACTTAATATTTTAAAATATTAATATTTTATTTATAATTTAAATGAATTATAATTAAAATATGAGAATATTAAAAATATTTTAATTTTAAATTAAAAATATTAATTTTATAAGTTTAAATTTGTAAGTTTTGAAAATAAATAAGGATATTTTAGTTCAAAATGTTTGTATTTTATTTTTATGGGTATGATCTTTCTCGCCAACACACGTGCCACGTTAGAGTTGGAGAAATTTTCAGAAACACTCCATCAAAAGAGCCAAATTAAATGATCAACAAACATTTAAAGAAGCAAAGGAACCGTTGAGACGATAGGGCATTAAAAGCAGTTTAGTTTCCTGGCGACTGGACATTAATTTCCGTAAAACACCCAAATAGAACTCTTTCTTCCTCATTTTTAATTCAGTGCCGCCCATTCACATCTCCATACTCTTTCTGCTTCCTCCTCTTCAGCATCTTTAGGCTTTAAGCTGTAAGGTACAGGTAGCTGTCATCTGTTGTTTTCTTCCGATTTAAAATGGCGAACGATGTGGCTTTAAGGTCAGCGATAGTGTGGCTGGCGGTGATCATAGTCTTAGTTGGGGTACGCACGTTGTCTTTGAAGAAAATGATGATAACTTATGCGTTTGGGATGGTTGGGATTGCTGGGATACTTTTGCCTGACTGGGATTTCTTCGATCGTGATTTTTCTCGGTGGTGTTATCCGATTACTGCTGAAGAAAGAGCTGCTCTTCATGCTCGAAGAAGATCTGGGTTAATAAAAAGGTCAATAATCAATATCTCGTTTCTTTTCTTCTTGTTATTCCCTCATAGATACGAGTTTAGTGTTTTCAATTTTCTTCTTCCTCCCCTGTTTTGCATATATAGGCTATAAGATGTTTTACTTTTCCTAACGAAAGCACCGCTCTGGTTTCGGAAAGAATAGAAAAACCAGGTGGATGATGAAACGTTGTTGTACTGTAGGTTCTGTTTAGGTTTAGTTTCACATGGCAATTGAGTTAATAAAGCGGTAGTTTAATTAGGGTACTATTATTAGCACTTAAAATCACTATGATGAATTTCTTTTTTCTTCCTATGATCATTAATTTACCATGACACCCCAAATCAGAAGCCGAGGGAGGGGGTTAGTAGGGGCTCCCACCCCCAAAGTTTCAGGAATATATAATTCCCTTTGTTTTGTTTCAAAATTTTATAATTTTACCCCTATGTTTTAAAACAAATTTAGAATTTTACCATCAAAATATTAAACTTCTTATTTTTGCCTTTTCAAACATGAAATCCTGATTTCCCAAATAAACCCTTATTCCATTTCCATTTAGCTCAAGTACTGTTAATTGGGGTTGGTTGGAGGATTATAAACTCCTTAATCGAATCGGTTGGCGTAAGGTTGTAATCACTTCAAGGCTGGGCGGTAGACTGACCTAATTTTTGCTGGTGTTTGACTGGATTTCATGTATTAATCATCAATCCTACAGTGTGTACTGTACTGGTTTCATAAATGTATGATCTATATTCAAAGCACGTCTCAGGCTTGTTCATGGGGTTTTGGCATATTGTGCAAAGCTGAACTGGTTTCGTTCAGTACCCTCACCTGTCTCTGGAGTCTGGACCTCCCAAATAACGACATCTTGGTCCGACTTTGGAGCAAATAATGGAGTTGGAATTTACCATTTATCAGTGCTTTAGGAGAGGGTAGGTTTTTCATAAAGTTGGTTTTCTGTGCTGCAGGTGTAGGATCTACCCCATGAGAGTGATCATTTACACCACAATTTACAGCTTTGGTCTGTACAAGTGGTGGACTTTCATATCAAGTTAATTATCAAGGAACTCTGCCAGATGACCCTATTTTTCCAACTGAGTTTTGGGGTGATCAGTGTTTGATCAAAATTCTTTTGGATTGTTGAATCTGCGCCTTTAGGAGTTGTTTCTAGGGGTTCATAATATATGTACAATTTGCGATAATATATGTACAATTTGCGACTGCTGAAGATATATATGGCTCAATTATTCTCGCCATCATAGAAACTATTTTTCCATTTTTTGGTGAAGGAAATGTGCCATTCATGTAGTGACCAAGTATTTTTCGATTCTTTATAGTCATTTGGGATTTCTTTTATTGAAAGCAATTTTTGTAAAGCTACTAGAAACAAATATGATCTCATCGTATTAAATATAAATGTCTGAACGATAATTATAAGTAGTAATTGTTTGGACGGGCAGGATGTCAATGTCAACGGTAGAATTGTCAATATGGGCTGGTTCGGTCCAGCCTGGCCCCAACCCTTGTGGATTGAAAAAATATAAGTTAGGTCTTGTCAGTTCATTTTTTATATAGATCATCAAAATCTCAATTCAGTTCACCCCTTGTTAGTCTATGGGTTGAGTTGACTCAGTTTATTTTTATTTTTTAAAAAAAAATTAATTTTTATAATTCTACCTGATAAATTTTTTATTACTAAAATTATTCTATGATTTAATTCATAAATTAAATAATAAAACATGTTACAAATAAACAAATTATACCAAATATAAATAAATAAATAAATTACATAATAAAGTTTAAATCTTTAACACAAACTACTATCTCATAAACATAAGTATATAACCAAATAATAAAAATTTCAAAGGCTCATTTATATCCTCTTCAATCTTCATTCTCAAGTAAAATATTTAAATCTTATTTAGACAGCAATGATGTCTCAAGGTTTGAATTATTATCAATTTATCATCTAATATTCATTACCATAAAAGAAAAAGAGATAATAAGTTTTAATCTAAATTAAAATTTTTAATTTGACAAGTGAAGATTAAAGACATTGAAATATATAAAATAAATAATATTATTAATAAAAAATATTATTAGTAACTAAATTACTAATTTTACATAATTAAATATATAAAATTATTAAATTAATTAAAATTATTTTTTTCTGACCCATAGGGCTGACCCTGCCCCAACCCACATCAGCCCACTGATATGGTGGGCTGGCCCATTTAGGCCCGGTTCAAATATGGGTCAAAATTTTTCAATCCAACACATCCCATATTTAATAGAAAATGAACCAATCCAATGAGTTAGGCCCATTTTGACAGGTTAGTCAACGGCAGAAACTAGTTAGACTTGTATGCAACACAACCTTATATTTAAAATATTATCAATAATTATATGATCATCACACTACTTTCACTATTCACAATTATATCTTTTTTTAAAGCGTGCTTGTTTGGGAAATGGCACAACCATTCCCTTAATTTTTAAAATCTTTTTAACCAATTGTTTGCTTCATGAGAATTGTGATTTATCGGAATAATTATTCTTAAAGAAATTTGAATAATTATTTAAAAAAATTTGATAACAATTATTTCAAAAATAGAGAATAAATAAAAATTTTGTTAGATAAAATTACCTTTAAATAAATTTAAAAATTACATCATAATATAAATTTTCTTCAATTTTCATATTTTCTCTCTTTATCCATCTTCTAACTCTTTTCTTCTCTCTAAAGAGGGTGACAGTGGCACCATGCCGATTACGAGAAACATTGATTGGTGTTCTCTCACCATATTCGACTCTAGAAAGTGTTAATCTAGTGCTCCCTAATTAGATTCAATCGAGAAAAGCATCAATTTGGTGTTTTAGCTGTTAGATCCAGCCACAGGGAGTGTTAGATCGATGCTCCATTATACCAGCCAAATCTTTGGTTGCAAGAAAAAAAAATGAAAATACTATTATGAAAAAAAAAGCTAAAAATTAATACTTTATTTTATAAAATTAAATTAAAATTTTAATTATAAAAAATTAAATTTTTTATAATAAAGTATTAATATTTTAAAATTAAAAATAAAAATTTTAAAATAAAATAATTAAATATAATAAGAATATGATTTTTTTTGTCATTTATCACTTATTACTTGATTATTCCTAAAACCATTCTTATCAATTAAATATTAAAATAAGTTATTATAACAACTTATATCCTATTTCATTTTTATAAATCATAAATTAAATTACATAATAATTATTTTTTTTATTACGTTCTTGCGAAATGGTTATTCCTTTCTCTTTATATAATTCTACGAAAGTTGAGTTGGTATTGACTATAACATCACCTTCGACTTAGGCCGAGCTTATTCTCAAAGAATAGTTATTTCATTCTTACTCTATTTTATTTTGAGAATCAAACATATTTTTAATATTTTTATATTTTTATTAATATTAAAAAATTAGTCAACAAAAAAAAATTGGTGTACTATGGGCTAGGCTTAGTTTCTAAAGTTGGGCTGGTATTGACTATAAGACCACCTTCGACCTAGGCCGGATTTAAGATCTAGGGCTTGTGTTAACAGCACCGAACGTCTTAAACTACCATATTGAACCCAAAATTTTAACAGTTAGACGAGGACATATTCGTCCTTCCACGAAACCCCTACAAACAAGCCAAGCATCAACCAGCCTGCTACTCTATTTAACACAGAAGCCACTCTATTGGGCACAGAAGCCGAAAGACAGAAGCGAAAGAGAAAGACAGAAAATAAAGGAACGAGATGAGGTTGCTAACTCACAACATGTTGTCGTCAAACATCAAGGGGGTAACTAACGGCTTCCCTCTTAGGATCGAAGTGGAGAAAGTGGTGGAGAAGCAAGTCGAGATCAACCACGATTTCCTCATGAACATATTTCCGAAGATCGATTGGAAAGCGTTTTTCGACGCTTCGAGAGTCATGGGCTACGTCGAGCTTCCCGAGGAGGCACCTGAGCCGTCGGTGTTAGAATCGGACCTGGAGTTCTTGAGAAAGTTCCATCATGCACTCTTGGAGCTTCATCTTGAGGAAGGTGCCCTTGTTTGCCCCGAGACGGGCAGAAAGTTTCCGGTTAACAAGGGAATTCCTAACATGCTTCTACATGAGGATGAGGTTTGAGAAATGGTTCCCGATACGGCTGCCTACTGCCCATGTGGGGGTTTTCCTTAGGGTTTTTATTTTTCTTTTCTTTTCTTTGTTTCTCTGTTTAGTCTTTCTTTGGGGATAATGTGTTGTTTGTTTAACTATAGGATTGAAGATTGATTCGAAAAAATGAGCGTTCTATCCATGATTGATGACTACTAGCAATGAGGTTAGAAGCTGTTAAAAAAATTTGTTATCGCTCCCATGTCTTTTTCAGATGAATTTGTAGAGGTTGGAAATTGTTGGAAAATGAAAATTGAACGCCAGACAGAAATTATTTACTAAGTTTATTCTAAACTTTAAAGCATAACTTCTGCCTTTTGAGAGTAATATTAATTACTTTGATCTCACATTTTTACGTTTATTATCCTATCTTTTCCAAGGAGAAGCAAACATTTTATTTATCCTTTCCTAAATGCAGAAGTAATAGGCAAAGCAGGAAATTAAATAGAAAATTCCACTTCCTAATGACATTAGAATGACGGGCGCTGGCTGGAAAGAAGCTTGTGAAGAACTAGTATCGGGAATCATTAATGATAGATGTACGCCCGTTGTTTTGGACGTAAGCATGTAAACTTCAGAACCTGAGCCTTCGATGAAATTGAAATTAAATAGCGATTACCTTGACATCTCAAACTTGAAACCCATGAAAGCTTTCGCTGATAAACGAATCATGAATATGACGGAACCTACTCAGATAAAATCTTGTTTTCACCTTTTTTACTGTCAAAAATTACTCAACAGGGTATCAACACTAGAATAGATAACTCAGCAGGATATAATTTACTACCTGCGTTGCTATTTGCTACAAGCACCTCGGTGCTCCCAGCCCTGTTGGTGCAAACAAATACAATTCATCATTCATGAGAAGAGGATGCTCAGCTCTAAAGTCGTCTCAACCCCAAATCGCTGCAATCTGCTCAACTGTTTTTGCAGCGAGGGGTTTCACACGGGGGAGGAGGCACACCAAAGACCCAATCAAGCACATTTAGGTACTTTGAGCGGAACACGTCCCTCTCCTGTGCATAACAATGCATTATGATAGCGGTTGACAAGCTAAAAATGACCACATCAGCTCTCTTCAGATTCTTTGACCGTGGCAAATACCCAACATCAGCCATGCATGTAAAGAAACTCTCTATGGCTCGTGCAAGGCAGTAGAGTGATATCTCAATCCGCCTACTTTTCTTCTCAATAGCCAAGGCCAGACCCGTTGGAAACTGTCCAATAACACATCCTACATTAGAAAGAAAAATGAAAAAAAAACCTTGGCCTACAACTCACATGATAAATTGGTAAGAGTCCTTTACCGTTCCCATTGCTACCATTGGTATGGTACATTTTCTGAAAATCCTAAACAGCATGCAAGTCCACATCCTGTTGAAAAATTAGTGGTGGTTAGCTCAATGACAAAGGTCAATATTAGCAATATGTACAAGTTGGATTTGTGATTAACTTTATGCAAAGTGGAAAGCATCATAAGAAAAAAAAGAAAAGCAAATTATGCAATAACTCATCTTACCCCTTATGAAGAACCCCATACAGTTATTTAATGTGTATACATATGTTGACTCTCCTGCTTGATATAGCTCATGGTTTGGTAAAATACAGTATGGGAGAGATAAATAAAGCATCTCACTATATGCATATACACATCTTACCATTCTTGTTTTGTTTAATGACATTGTAACCTTTCTCAGCTAGGTGTCTCATCCAATATATATCAGTCCCTCATTTTCTATTGAACTATAAAACATCTTCCTAAACCAATAACCATGCCAATTTAGTTTCACATTAAATATATTAGGCAAACCTATTATCCTATTCAAAGCCTACTTTAGCACATAAAGTCAGTAATTCTTAATGCCTTTCAACCATGTTCATGGCACCACAAACTTTCACAACTTGACATTTGACATCACCAGATACTGCACGCAAGTGGCAAAGCCAGTACAAATTTTCATAGTTATGCTTATTTCCTTCCAACTACCAAAATTAGCTTATAGAAGAACATTCCTCAATGTTTTGAATTTTGAGAACCACATTTTAATTATATTAGGAATTGATGTTCATAAAACTATACCAAATTGCTAAAATTATGACCACACACAGTGATGCAGAAGTTGCAATTTGGAGTATCCCCAGATTCCAAAGTTAGTTCAATATCGTCATAAACTGACAATTTCATGAAGATTTTGACCCTCTGTTTTTCTTATAAGTCTTTCACAGGAAATCATGATACACTTTGACTATCCTGGTCACAACCAACAATTCTCATGTCCTGACAATCAAAGTAGGCTTTGGAACAAAAAGAAAAAGGCATTCAAAGTGGACTGCCACAATAGAAGCATAGAACCACTAATGAAGCTACGAACTCTTTACAAGCATAGAACCAACAATTCTCATGGCATGTGAATATATGAAAATATGATTGCTCATCAAATAAAAGATTGTTGACCAGTATGAGATATTGATCTTCTTAAGTATAACAAAAGTAACAAAAAAGGGAAAAAGAAGGAAAGGTCGGATGAAATGACATATCACACCCTTAAGCATAGACTATAGGATATAGATCCTCTGCAATTTTGACCAACAATAACTAATGTTTTAATTACTTTAACCACAACAGCAAATCTCAATGACAATTACTTATCAAGAAAGGAAAACTGAAAAAGGGGGAGCTATAAATTAAAGTTGAAATGCATTAGGAATTACTAATCTTGGAGAACAAACAGACAATGTTATGAATACAATGAAACAGTAGAATAATAGAACACTAACCAAGCAGATGTGCAATAGACAGATAAAAATAAGCTTGATCTGGCAGTACCAACAAGACCCTTCCCTAATATTGTGTAAGGCCTGCATTAAGGTCAAAAAGAACTATGTCAGACAATAATGATTACAGGGAGCATCTGGCAAGTGAAGAGAACCAACACTGATCTCAATTATTGCTGGAAAAGAGAGGAGGAAAGGGGGGGATGGTGGGGCGCACAGAAATAAACCAAAAGACTAACACATGTTGAGTTGTACTAGAGAAAGAAATGGAACAAGTAACTGGAAGGTGTTCTCTGATGCTCAAATATTATGAGGTACTCAAAGCCAAAGTGGGCGTATAATTCTTTGTTCACCTAAAAATATATGAAGCAAACATTTGGCAAGCATGCCAAAAACCTATAGCATCCATGTACAGCAACAAGCTCAATCACTCATCAACTTGTATAGGGGCATTTACCTACTCTAGTAACCATAAAGGGCCCGAAGTAGGAAAAATAATCTAAAAATCTAGAACATATTAAGTAAACAATTTCTTTTTTAAAATAATAATAACAATAAGTAGCCAAACTCTAAGGTGGCGTTTGATACTTTATAATGCAATGTGATTATTAGTAATGTGATTGCAAATAATGTGATTGCAAGTAATGTGATTGCAGAGAAAATAACATTACAGTGTTTGGTATACAAGCAAAATAATTATTAAAATACAAGGAAGATAACATTGCAATGTTTGATTTATAAGTACTTTGCTAGAAATGTAATGTTAAATTTCAAAATTACCCTTATTTATCAAAAAGCATATTTAACATACTTATATTTTTTATTGTTAATTTTTATATAATATTATCTCTTAAATATATTTTTAATGTCATATATTTTATTTTATTTCTTATTATAATCTTATATATTGTATTTTTATTTTTTTAATATAATTTTTTAAATTATATGTTTTATTTTAATTTCTTTTCCTTATATTATATAAATTTTAATTTCTTATATTTTATTTTATTTTAATTTCTGATTCGTATATTTTATATTTTATTTTAATATTTTTTATTTTAATCATAACGTTACAAAATGTTTTTAACAAGGTAATAAAGTTGAAGGGTAAAAATATCTTTAAGAATATTGCAAAGTGCAATGTAATGTGATTGCATTGATTTTGGACTACAATCACATTACATCCCTTGGCTATAATATGATTGCATTGTAATCCTACGTTGCAGTGGTTTGTTGTAAAACAAACACTGCAATGTAATTTAATTGAGCACATTGCAAGGAATGTGCTCCCACTTCCCTCATACCAAACGCTACTTAGGTGAAAAAATTCACTAAATTTCAATTAACCAGTCTTCAAAAAAGAGAAAATAGTCTAATTGCATTACCTTTTTAAGAGGCCTTGACGATGAACTATCAATGCAGGAATCAAATAAACCGGAAGATATACAGGTAATGCCCTTTTATATGCTTCAATAAGAAAGGAAACAACATGTTCGCCACATGATTTATTCCCATGTATCATCTGCAAATAGCTTGAGGATTTAAGAACAATTCTCAAAAGTAACAATATACTTTTGTCAGTAAACTTTAAGCAATAGTGGCTTGAGTGCTTGAATCAAAGTCTATGCTGAATTTTCTATAAACATCTGAGTACTTTAAACCGATAAAAAATAAATGATTCATGCAAGAGAATCTATTGTATTTCAGAAATCATGCATGTTGCTAAATGTTAGCACTCTAAGTTCTTATTGCAAAGGAGAACAATAAAACCTAACACAGTAGTTAAACTACTGCAATTTCAACTATTTACAACCAAATAACTAATATTGTTGGAAGAAAATGTTGAATTGTGGATTGCAAATGAGATCTTATCGCAAGGCTTACAGAGACTGCAAAGAATGACCAAGTGCATTCAAAGTTTTGGGTAATGAAATGCTTCAGAGGTTAAGTAGATGGTTTTTAAGCTGTCAAAAACACCTTCACTATGCACTTTCATGTATGAATCAGCACATAATTCCAAAATGATGAAGAAAAGCACTAAATTAGTTCTAAAATTCTGACAGTTGGAATGCAGTATCAGGCTGATAACCAGAGCAACTGAAATGAACTTCACACTCTCTCCTACTCTTTTCAGATTTTCTTTTTGTAATTTCTCATAAAGCAGCATGACAGAGAGTTTTTAGCCCATAAGAATGAGCTTTATGAGTTTTGAAAAGAATGAGAAAAATGAAAAGCTCAATGTCACTTCAGATTAATTTTCCTAACCAAGCCCTTCTTACTGAGCTTTCTCAAATTCTTGCAAACAATTCTATTCAACAAGCATCTAAGTTTATCTTCAAGATGACATTCATTGCCATAAAAATGCTACCCTGTATGAAAAGAAGCGCCCATCTTAATGATCTTACTCAAGAGATAATCCTAAATAAAGCACAATGTTGAAGTCTCATATACTGGACACCGAGTAGGGGGAAAATGCCATGCTGGTAGTTCTTTGTTCCAAAGGAAGAAAGAAAGACAAGTATAGAAGGACTGCATACTATGAATAAGGTATATAGATTAATACTACCCGGTAAAATAACACTAAGGGGGTAACAAGGATCATACCGAACAGGGGATTTTCATGTTTGGATCTAATTTTACATCTACTCCTGTTGCCTTGTAAAGTTTCTCTATTGCTTCCAAATCAGTGAATGGAAGGCCACTTGCAATCTCTTTTACACCTTGTAGGATGACAATATCCTTTCCGCCATGTTTATTGAGAAAGGACCTATATGATGGGGGCAAGCTATCTTGCTTCAATATGTATGAAGACCTGAAATAAAAATGTTTCCACTTAAAAGTTAGGTCCAAAAAAATAAATAAAAGTGCATTAATCGACTCCTTAGAAAAAAATTAGTGAAATGTTCCCCAGGCTGTGTTTTTGGATGCCATTATGTGTAAAATTTGTAAAGCTACACAATGTCGTCCAGCCCTTCTCAAATATTGCCCTAAACTGTATAATGACCACTTACTTCTAGTTCAAGCAAATATTTTCCTAACTTTCTTTTCACATATGATATGACGTAGTTAGGCTTTGACCACTAGTTAGATTTAAGAATCAAAGATCCTGCTATCAAGCCTAAGATTTAATAAACTTTTAAGTATACAGATGAGCAGGCAGCAGCCAAACATTTGAATTTTGATTGCCAGCTTTAACAGGTTGAATTATAGTTAAAAAAGAAAAAAAAAAAAAAAAGGAAAAGAACAATAGAGTCCCTTGATATGCTGATTAGACTTTCACTCATTTCATATATAGCCTGATATATTTCAAAATGCATCCAAAATGTTATCGTATCACACTTTTTTTTTCTTAAATCTTCCTGAAGGGAAATTGTTCGAGATTGATAACTTAACTTGATAGACTGGGCCCTTAATCGAGAAGGCTCAGTCACCTAGTCTAGGTGGTAACTTCCAAAAAAGTTACATGCTTCAAGTGCAACTGAAAATTACCATAATTCAATGAGAACCATTGCACTAAAACTTAACAGTATAAAACAACAAAACGAATCCAATAACCAAGAGAATTTAAAAGAAGAAACATACAAGATTTGCGAAGACGAGAGACACATAAGGAAAATGTCACCATGCTTCCAAGTGAGAGGTTTACAAAGCTTCCCAAACCGTTTACTCTTTATCCCACAGCGTGATGCCAATACAGCAGCTCTCATGAGTATGTATATGGCCAAACTCGTATGCTGCGTGTTAGGCCCGGTAAGAAGCATGGAAGGCCCTGCAACCAGTCCGGCTACTAATGCCCTCCATTTCGCAGTCCTGATTCAACAATTTAACACTCCATAAAAACATAAGTTCATTAAAACTTCCATTTCAACTAAAGATTTGAAAATTAGGATTAAGAGCATTGCCTGTTATGTCCTCCAAGAGCACCAATAATCTCATCTACTGAAACAAATGTACCAGCGAAAGTTCCAAGAAAAAGACCGTATCTAAGTGTCTCCTTAATCGCCATAGAAATTGCTTCCTTGTCAGTAAACGCCTCAGCTTTCCTAAATCAAGAAATTATTAATTTATTATTCTCACAGCAAATTATAAAAAAAAAAAATCAAATTTTAGTATACCTTGATTTTTTGCGCCGCAGGCGAGCAAGAATCGAGAAAAGTGCTAAGCCACCTTTAATGCCCGCTCCAATTGAGAAGCCTTTAGCTGAAGCGACAACAATTCTCCGTAACTTCTCCGAGTCCGTTAACAGTATCGAATCGAAACCAAGCGTAGAGGAAGAACATAACGAAGGTTTGGATCTAGCGCAATGCGTGCAAGTCTCGTCGTGAGATCTGGGGATACAATAATCCTCGGGGCCATAGTGCAAACCACCATTTTCGCCGGAGACACAGGAGCATCTGCAACCACCGTTGATGGCTCCGTCTCCGGACGGCGACATGGTGGTGAACTAGGGTTTTTGCGGCGCGGAGATCACTAAGTTTTTCTGAAGAAGAATCAGGAGGTGATTGATTGATTGATTTAGGAGCCGGTGTTGTTGGTGGGAAATTAGGAAACGAATTTTCAAAGTGAGACGGAATTTAACTTTCCTGCTTTTTGCGTTTATCAAAGTACCCTCGATTGACCGACACGTGTCTGATATAAGTTTTGGCGGTTTGGCTCCATGCTTTGAAGTCCAAAACCTTTAATTGTCAAAAATGGCCGAATTGATTATAGCAAATTCTTTAATGAACACGGTAGGTTAGTTCATCCTTTTTTGAGTTTTAAGTATTAGAATTTTATATCTTATTTGATTAGAATTTTAGTTTATGTACAACATTAAGTAATTGTATAGCTTTAAACTTATTATTTCATATAGAGTCCTAATTATATTTTATTTTATACTTTTATATTATAAAAGTATATCTTTAGGCTTTAGAATTACAAATAGTACTTTGAGAGCTTTAGAGATGTAACACTTTGTAACTCTGTCTTTTGCTTTAGGTGGAGGTAGAGTGGTTTGGGTGAGTGTTATTGAGAGGTTATCGAGAAAGAGTGTGCAAGGAATCTTGAGTTGGTTTGAGAAGTCATAGAGGTCAATTTATTGTATTTTAATTTTTTAATAATATAAGAATAGTTTCACTCCGTGGACGTAGGTAATAGGCCGAACCATGTAAATTCTTATATTTTTCTATTTACTTGATTTTTTTAGATTTTATTTTTATTGTTTCTTGGGCAATTTCCACAACACCTTTCGCCCTTCGCCCTTCTCCGTTGACAGAATGCTTTTGCTAACTTATGACACGTCGTTCCTCACAACATTATTGGTTAGGGGCACTTTCTTTGTTTGGTATTTCGTCTGGGGCATTTTGTATCTGGAAGAGTATAATCACCTAAGGCTAAACGTTGCCTGTTATGTTATGCTCTTTTTGCGCTTTGACTGTGAATTTCGAAGGAATGTCAATATTTGAGAACCTTTCATTTTGTACTTTAGGATAGAAAGTTACCAAAAAGGGTAAAAACATTTTTTTTAAAAAAATGGAGCTTTAATTGTTACCATTTCAATATTCGGTGATCTTGATATTGAATGTAATGAAAGGGGAACGGCTAGATGATCACGTGTTCAACTTGCGATTGGCAGACAGAGCGAGCCATGTTCTAACTTAATTTCAAAGCAACTTGCTCGTGGTCCATCAAGGCTCTGAATTCTGCTGTAAGCTAACACTGAGAGTAACAAGAAAATTGAATGCAACGCCCATTATTCAAGCTTATCTCATAGCTGCTAAGCTTCCTGAAATCTCCTAGCTGGAAACGAAGCTTCTTGATAATGAATATGTTGAGAGATCTCAAACATGCAGGATTCAAGTTTCATGATGAGATTTGTCAAAAATTGCTGTAATACTGGTAAATAATTCGTTTCAATGCAATCTGCTAGTTAATTTCCTATGAACCCTCCAGCTAATGGAATTCAGATTTTCAGATATTTGGCACTGAAAAGTCCACTGGCGTTAAGAGTGAATTACCACAAGAGGGGGTAAAGAATAAAGTCAAGTGAATCTAATGAAACCATTCACAAACACTATCTTAACGTCCATATTCATCTTACCGCTGAGCTCCGCTGTTCACATACACAACTCCAGTCCAAAAACTAACTGGGGTATGTTTTATGAGCATTGCTGTTCGGCTTTTTTAAGGGATAAGGCCACGCACACTGGTCACCACATGTGATTAGCATTCTTTGGACAAAGATGGATGGGAAAATCATATAAAATATAAAATTGGGAACCTAGGGCTGTTTTATGAACAAATATAAGTCTTCTTCAAAATCCCAAACGTATATTTTGCATTGACTGATAACTGATTGTGCCAAAATACATGCAAAACCAAAGCATTTGGGTATACCTGCTAATTCCATAGGCAGAAGCAAAATTTTGTACAAAGATGGGGAGTGCCAAAATAGGCTACTTTCACTACTTTTACAGTTTCTTTTTCCCATTTTTAAAGTAGAGAAGGTTATTTGGATTTAAAACAAGCACATTTCACTACTTTCACCATCAGCCATCTTTCAGACTTTCAGCCCAAAAATGATGACGCATATTTAGAATCCTTCTTATCAAATGTTTCAAATCATTTCAAAGCATGTGTGTCATTCGAAAATGACATCATCAAAAGCTGTTATTATACTATACATCCACCCCAGGACCCTAGCAAATACTTCAATGCATCACCAAGGGCCTGATCTCAAGCATGTGCTAGCAAACATGATAGAATTGAAAATGAAAACCACTACATTATATCAGTAATAAAATCAAGCTCCTAAACAACGAAGGTCAAAATTCAGGCAGCAATTCAATGGTGGATCTATTATCAAGAAAAGAAGTTAAGATGTCAATAAAATTTCCAGTTCTTTCTTTTCAGGTACAAAATATGTGGAGAACATTGATGGTAACTGTTAAGTTTAAATGATTAATGACTAAATCTTCCTCTGAATCTCTGTGCTGTGCTCATCTTATAGTCACTGTACAACATCCTACCAGTTCTTTTCCTGAGAGTATCCATTGTCCCTCTTCAATTCACTTTGAGAACAATCTTCATAAACTCGTACACGAAATAACTTATTGCAGCAGAAGGAAGGACCTGAAGATGAAAAATATCATATTTAAAGGGGGAATTTTAAAAAAGAAAAAGAAGGCAAGATTACACAATTTCCTTTGAAAATCAAATACATTTTGGGATTATATTACTAAGCAGAATATGATTCCAGAAGAACACTTCAAATTTGTGTCATGAGGAACTCAACCTAGTAAAAATGTCATATTTGATAGCAAGCTCAATAAAAAGACCATGATCAATCCCAAAAGATGATATCAAACATGATATTGCACAGTGGTGAAAAGCATATGAGCCACAAAAAGTGGAGGCAAAACAAGTAAGATATCCCATTTAAACACTTAGCTAATCAATGTTAGAAACTATATATATAATGTGGAAAATAATCAAGATGATATCCTCTAACTTCAGGACAGAACAGAAAGAAAATTGTGAGATGAACTCTCATGTTCTGCTGTCATCTTGATTGTTTAACCCCATGTCTGCATTTGTGAAGAGCGTATAATTAACATAAGTTTTTGCAAAACAATTCCTGGGGATTTTATTAAACGCTTGATCCACTTACTTGTAGCAAGCTCGGAATTAGCCCTGCATAGAGTGCTGGAACTCCTCCTTGCTCAATAATCCTCACACCAGTTGCCAATGCATCCATTCTGCTTGCCTGGACTTGTAATTGCAACTGTCTTCTCACAACTTCAAACGGGTAAGTAGCAACTTCAGCGCAAGCACCAGCAATAGCCCCGTATAGTAAGGTCCTGACTGGTCCCAACTCTAACTGATCCAAAGCATTCAGTTCCTGCCCCAGCTGACTCATGTTCTGAATTCTTTTCCTACCTTCTGGTGAATGCAGATAAGCTGATTTCAACATATCATACACACCATAGAACACTGCAGCTGAAGGTGCCATGCTTACAATAGAGGGCACTAGACCTTTGTAGAGAGAAAAGAATCCTTCAGTTTGGATCATGTGGCGAAAAGCACCAATAACACCACCCAAGGCTTCTCCACCTGGTGCCACTATCTTGGTTCGGATCTGTACAAGACAACAATAAGCAAGTAGTCAATAACTATCCTCATAGAAGAAGAAGGGGGAAAGAAGAATTAATCAATAACTGGTGTGCACCTACTGATATCATGAACGCACTGAAAACACTTGTAAGTTGCACATTAAGTGCTCTTTAATAAATCTACAAAGTTCAGAACAGAATAAAACATAGCAGAAAAAAAATTGCTTTAAGAGTTGATGATTATTGGGACAGAAACAAAAATGCAATTATTCATAGTTGTAAAAAGCAGGTCTTCTCAAAATGTAGCAAATCGTAAATGAGCCTAGCATTTGACAAAAGCATTTACAGATGAAAGGTCGAAACAACAACCCTCAGTAGAGGAGCTTATCATATTTCATTTTACTTCGGATATCATACATTTTAAATATCCCTTTGAGCCATTAAACCCTCAAGCTAGAATCACACCACCTTATTTTATAAAAATCTCAAAAAAAAAAAAAATTTTGATTCCATGTGGCATCATCATAATTTATAATACTAGACTCCCTGAAACCACTATCCTTCACCTTGATTGGTCAAAAGATATTACATTGGATGTCTCAAAATATGCATATTTAGTCATGCTAGTCGTGACATTGCAGTGACAATAAAGGGGAATCCTCTACAAAGCATTTTGCATTAAATAGATACTACTTGGTAAGAGCAGAAAAGCACTAAATACTGGTAAACAAGATTATCACCATGTTTGGTCCACAACCATACTTATAATAAGAGACCAGATGCTAACCTTAATTTACAACATGTAATTGGTTCCTCATAACTTTGACAAACCTTTAATAACACATAGTATTAACAATTAACCATAAGCTAGTTATGATGGTTGCCCCAAAATGTACAATACAGCAGTGCATATACTTAGCATGCCTCCAAGAGTGATGCCCAAATGCAGGCTCAAATTAAAGATAGAATAATGAAAACAGGAAGGAAACTTCATGTTGCAAATTCCACATACAGTGTCAAGCGGTAAGCAGAGTACGGTAGCAGTCATGCCAGCTGCAGCACCAGCAACAAACCTCTCAGAATTTGTGGTTTCCTCATTTCCAGACAATCTAAGCAATTGCTTCCTATAGGTATCGTAAGCACAAAAATTCACAGCTTTAAATGGAGCCGTGCGAAGAATGTTAATTAAGTTCCCTTTCCAAAATCCAAGTAATCCTTGCGTCACAGCAATCTTCTTAACAAGTTCAAATATTTTCCTCTGTTCACCACGAACTATATATTCCAGCTTCAATCTCTCTAGCGGAGCAACAAATGTTCTATATCATTTTAAAACAATAATTAGAGTGAAAACAAAATAATGGATAGGTCTCTAGCCAAATAGGAAAGGCACGTTCCTAAATTACAGTGAAAATTAATTACTGATACCTGGAAACCATGGCTGCGATAGCTCCAGCCCACAAATGCTTGGTAGTGTTGACAGCCCCACGTCGCGTTACCCTAACTTTCTGTTTAACTACCGCTACTTCCCCATTGCTCTTCTTTTGTACTCCGTTCTGTAACAGAAACTCCTTGGTTTCTGAAACAAGCCCATCGTTACTCAGGCTAACGGATAAAAAAAACAAATCCTTAACCGTAACGGCTTCCCGCTTTTGCCTCCGCGCAAAAGAAACCGTTCTTTTGGAACCGGAGGGATCTTTAAAAGGGGAAATGAAGTCAAGGAAGCCAGAGGGAACGCTGGGCTCGATGAATAAACCGCCAGGGACAAGAAAATTTGAATTAGAGGGAAATGGAAGGAGAGGTTGTTGGTCCGGGAGGGAGTTTCTGAAGTGGATATGGAATTTGGGCATTGTTAAAGAAGTGGTGGAAATGGCAGAGCCTGGTGTTAGGGGGGGAATTTCACAATTTCAGGGCAGGAAGACGAGAAGGGTCAATCGAATAGGTAGAGGTGAGGGGTATGAAGGAAATGGTGGCGGGTTCGGCCGGGGCTTTGCTTCCATCGCCGAACCAGCTACGATCCAAGTTCTGCCCCTTGAGTCTTGAGTGAGTCACTCGGGTCGGTTTTGTTCCTATGATCTGTTTTTTGTTATTTTATTTTCCTTTTTGGTTTTCTCTATTCTTGTTATTTTAATTTTTCCATTTTATATGGTAACTAATGGATAAAGGAACTCTATAATTAATTAGACAGCATTTTATTTTATTCAACTAAATTTAGAGAACATTTTATTTTATTCTTTTTAGTTCAGATCGAATGCAACTATCATTTTTAACTAAATTCCTTTTAGAGAGCATCTTATCTTTTTTAAGTTCAGATCCAGTATAATTATGCAAGTAAAAACAAATTTCATTGAATAATAAAATTAGCACGCCTTGCAAAAAATTCATGTCAATTCAATGATCTAAGAATTAAAATAAATTTGATAAAAAAAGCTGACAAGTGATTTTTAGAAACAAAAGAAAACAAACAAAATTACGGCCAAAAATGTGATATCATATGCAATTGTACTCACTAAACCCTCAATCCAATTGATAAAAATATCTTTAATAATATTACCTAATGTAATGTGTCATGACCCAAGAGTTTAAACTAATTCATACAGACCAGATCAATTAGTCCAACAGTTAACAACCCTAGCAAAACAGACAGTTCAAGGAGATCTAGCAACCTAACAAGCAGCCCCCAAGTAAATGAGGCAGTTTAGATAAGCTAAACAACAAGCCTAGTAATATAATTTGATTTGAATTTTGTGATTTATTAGATTAGTCTGAAATTTAGATTTAATTTTAATTATTATCTCTTCAAATTAAATATTTTATCTTATCTCTATTTTGTAAGTTTATCTTATCTAATAAAGAGAGCCATCAGCCTATAAACACAAAGATTTTTTTTATTATGATTATTTAAAGTTTTATTTTTAAAATTTAAAATCATACGAGATTGGTTTAAATTTTGATATGTGACACAATATAATTTGATTATTTTAATTTTTTAATGTAATAATATTACACTCATTAATTATAATGTGATTATATTACAATCTGACATTACATTTAATTAATTACATTAATTATAAAAAATATACTTTCACTAACCTCATACCAAAAGTTACTAAAATCTCCTTAGGGTATTGCATCACGTTTATTGGGAGCATATGATTCAAGACTTGATGGAAATTAATATTGGCTTAAATGGTAAAAAATGTATAAAATTATGATATTTTTCAATTAAATCTTTTATATTTGGTTATATTTAAATGAGTTTTTAATTTTTATTCGTATTTAAATAAATTTTTAATTTTAATACAAAATTAATAATTAATTTTAATATGAATTAATATTTTTTATTCATGTGATTATATTACAGTTGCCTAATATTTTCTCTTTCTTTCTTTTATAACTACTCAAACTACTTTGTTCTAAGAAGATTAGATAAACTTTTGCAATATCTTCTTTATCTTTCTCTCTCTAATCTCACCTTCTCGGATCTATTCAAAATTCAGTTGCTATCATTGCTTGTCATTTGCGTCATCTGTCTTTGTCTTTGACCAAATCAAAAAAAAAAAAGTTAAAATATCTCTAATTTTTTAAATTTAAATCAAAATTATATAAAAATTTATTAATTTAAAATAAAGTATCTATTTTAAAAATTAATGTTAAATATAAAATATCTAAAATATTATTTCTTTTTTTATCTAAATATAAAATACCTAAAATACTTTATTTTTTTTCTATTGTCTTTTTTTTTTCTCTCAGCTGGCTAACCACTTATCTCACTCTTGGAGATGCTTATTGGAGAGCTGTTTTTGTTTAATTAATAAAAAATTAATAAAATTATATATTAATAATTTTTAAAATTAATAAAATGTAAAATTATTTTTATAATATTATTATGTCATTCAACTGATAGAAACATTAACGAGTGACTAGCGATTGAACCTATATGTGTAACAAATTTTTTTTTAAATAAAATATCTATTTTTAAAATTAATAGATTTATGTATAATTTTAATCAAAATTTAAAAAATAAATATATTTTATCCCAAAAAAAATCTTATTTTTTTGATTTTTTACACCTCCTTCTACCTCCTGATTGGTTTAGTTTGCTTAAAAATCTTTTTTTTTCTTTTTTTCCGTAAAAAACAATACCTACATCTAATAGTCGAAGGGATTTTTTTGTTGCAAATCCTTTCCACTCTATTTCCTTCGCACTTTCACCTATTAATTTTCATCAAATGTTGAAAACAAACTTTATATTTAAGATTTAAAATTTAGAGAAAAAAATTAGGAAAATTATTTCAATAAAAAAAGAAAGTAATGAGAAAAGTAAAAACAAAGTTTTTAATTTGGTGATTTTGACATTGATCTATGATTGATGATAGATGATAGAAGTAATAGTTATGATTTGTTTGATTTCGTATTTTATAACATCAATTGTCATGTGATTGAATCATTCAATTATATTACATATCACGTAAATAAAAAATATCAATTGATATTAAATTTTTATTTTTGGTTAAGATTGAGGATTTTTTTTTATTTTTTTAGATTAAATTTTCTTTTCTTTCTCGGGACTTATACATTTAAAAGGAAAAATGTGCTATTTTTTTCTTTTATCTTTAATTGTTTTTCTCTTTTTTTAATAAAAAGAAAAAAATTGTGTTATGTTTGTAATTACCACCCCATAAGAACCTAAGATGCATGTGTTTGATAAAAAATAAAGATATTCATTAAGAATTTTAAGATATTTAACATGAATATGGCTGGATGAAATGAAAATAAAGTAAAAGAAGATTATCCATACGTTCATATGATTAACTTGAATAAAAAGATTTTTTGAAAAAAAAAACCTTTAAATAAAAAAGACATGTTCGGCCATAAAGTTATAAACAAGACTTCCATAAGCCTCGGAAGAATAAGAATATAATATAAGGAAGTGTTCGATCTATAAAAATTTTGAAAATATAGAGATAATTTTTTTTTGTTTTGACGTAAAACATTTTTTGAAAAATGTTTTCAAGAATGTTTTCAAGACTTATACTTGAAAAACATTTTTAGGATTTATACTTATTATACTTCTAAAGGACATAAGATATTTTAGATAGTCAACAAGTATTTTTCCTATTCATTCCTAAAATGTTTTATATTTAGAATAAATTTGTAATATTTAACTTAAGATATTAAAAAAATTAAAAATATTAATATTTAACTTTTTTTAAAAATTAACTTTAAATATTAATATTTAAATTATTTAATACTGTTAAAATAAAAAATATGTTTAATTAAATCATTTAATGTAATTAATATTTTTATTTATAAATTTTAATAAATCTTACTAATAATTATAATAAAAAATATTTCAATGATCGTCATTTAATGAATACAAATTTATGAATATAAGTTTTGAATGTTTTATAAATATTGATATTTTTATAGTGTTATGGTAAAAAAATAAAATAATTTTTTTTTAAAAAAATTAGATTGTATTTTCATTCTAGTATGTGGTTAAATGTTTTGAAAATATAATTATTGATTTTTTATTTTTATTTTTATTTTCATTCTTAATTTTAATGTGAAAATCAAATTGCACTATTGTTTTATAATCAATTCTTATTTATCATTTTAATGATCAAATAATTCCATCATGATGATAGAAAATATTTTTCACAATATGATTCAAATAATAGAAAATATTTTTGAAAGTTTATGCCAATAATAAAAAATATTAAATTTTTTTGTAAAATATTTTATACAGGAAAAATTTCCTTCTAACAAATTATTTTTCGTTTACCAAACAAACTTTTTATTTAATTTTTTTTCATATCTTAAGTTATTATAGTATTAATTAATCCCATTAAATTAGAGTGCAATCTATTTTATTAGGAGTCATATATAATTTAAAAATATTTGTACAAAAATAAAATTTCTTAAAAAAAAATTATTGCTTGCTTGGTGGATACTACTAGTGAAAAGGCAGTTTCTTGAATTTGGTTAATTTATTTTATATTTTTGTTTATTTGAATTTGACATTTTCTTTTACACGAGAAATAATTTAATTTTATCTTTTATCTGTTAGCCGAGAACTTTTTTTTTTAAAAAAGAAAACTATTTCTTGGACAATAATTAGTTATGTACCAGAAGTAAAGCGTCTCAGTGGATGCTGCAAAACGTTACAATAGGACCGTCCGCGTGCTAATCGAAACCCCCTTTAACCAACTTCACTCCGTCTATAAATACCACATCTCTTTCGCGCCTAAACCATTTTCAATTTACTCACTCAGGAAACACTCGGGACTTTCAGAGGGAGAGCAATCGAGAGCGATTGCACCGAAATTTCAAGGGTTTCGTTAGTGATTTGGTCTTTCGATCTTTTGAAATGCAGAAACTAGGGTTTCCAAGCATGAAAAGCTTGGATCATTTCAAATCCTTGTCAGGATCCGGCTCCGGAGCCGCGAGAAACTTCTCATTCCCTTCGCGTCCATCTACCGATTCAGTTTCTTTGGGAAGTTTCGCGAATTTGAAACTTACTGCAGGTTTTATCGATGAATTTTGTTATAGTTTTGTCATTGGTCAAAGAATTTAAACGATTTTGATAATTTTTGGTGTGATTTGTTTTTGTAGAGAAACTTGTTAAGGAGCAAGCTTCTGTGAAGACCGATCTGGAAATGGCGGTACTTTCTCTCTGGCTCTCTTCATCTTCTTCTTCTCCATGTTCGTTGAGCTTCTTGAAAAGCACATAAATACAATATTTGCTTTGTTTTGGGATAGTTAATGTTCTTGCTTCCGTCAGTGCTTCAAATCTTAGAAGATTAGGGTTTAGTCTCACGAGACAATGGAGAACTCTTCATTTTCTGCATTTAACGGTTATTTGATTAATAATTTGAAAAAATGTAGAATTCTAAGCTGAAGAAATCAATGGAACATATCCGTGTATTAGAGGAAAAGTTACAGAGTGCTTTCAATGAGAATGCTAAACTCAAAGTAAAGCAAAAGGAAGACGAGAAGCTGTGGAAAGGTCTCGAGTCTAAATTCTCTTCAACGAAGACTCTTTGTGATCAACTCACTGAAACGTTACAGCATTTAGCCAGTCAGGTTCAGAATGGTTGGTCTTTTATACATATGTAATGCCTCCGAAATTTCATTTTTTTAATGATATTTTTTGCAATGTCTTAACTATTTTTGACTTAAATAGCTGAGAAAGATACGGAGTTTTTTGAAGGCAAGCTGTCTGAAAGCTCAAAAGTGATAGACTCACTAAATGAGCATATGAATGGCCTTTCTTTGAAGTTAAGTTCTGCTGAGGAAACGATCAGAAACTGTGAGTTACTTATATCATCTTTGTTCAAATTCATTCTGTTTTGCTAGTGATGATTGTTTTAGTTATCTGTTTCATTATAAGATCAAGAGGACAGCACATTGCATTCTTTGATTTATCATTCCACAACGTGATGGATATTTGGTATATCAAATGCAGGTGGAAAGGAAATAGAAGAACTCAAATTTGAGAAAGAGGAAAATGGTAGGTTTTACAAGGATGAACAGTGCAAAAGTGTGAGCCTCATTGAGGAAAAAGGTGAGCATATGCGTGGCTGAGTCTGTACAGAGGCTTTGTTTACTATTGAAAGATTAATTAGTGGTTGCATCAGTTAGTAGATAATTTTACCATATTATAGTCATGCTATAATTATCATTCAGTAAAGGATTTTGTGAAATTGAGTCTAGTAATTATCATATGAGTCCTTCTAATGATCCTGATTCAAGGCAAGACAGAAAAATTTGTTGAATAAGTTTTTTTATGACTTATGATCCTGATTTATGGTAAGACAGCAAGATTGTTGAATGAGTTCTTCTCCACTTTGACTCTAGGATGCTTAGCTTTCTCAGAATTTCCAATTGTGCAAAATGAAGGCATTTCAATTTTAAGTCAGTCAATTTCTAACATATCTCTTAGAATAGGGTACCTTTTGACTGAAAAGATGAAGTGTCAAGTATGTTGATTGATTTTGAGGAGGTCTAACATTCAGCCATCAGAATCCTAGTGTTCGCTTCATAAAAGCATCCTTGTGGAATCTTTTGCATGCAGATGCTCTGATAAAGAAATTTGAAGCAACCGTAGCAGTGAATAAACAGGCTGCAGAGAGTTTGAACTCTAAAATGGAAGAAGTTCAGCTTGAGTTAAGATCAAAAGAAGACGAAATAAAATGTTTGCTAACCACTCAGGAGAACTTGGAGAAAGAGAAAACTGATCTTCTGTTGAGTAATGATGAATTTGCTAGAAAGCTATCAATATCTCTCTGGGAGATTAAAAATCTTGAAGGTTTTGTTGCTGTGTTGGCTGCTCAGTTGGTTGAACTGGATAAACAAAGTCTGACTTTTACTGACAAGTTTGATGAAATAAATTCTCTCTATGACACTTGCTTTAAGTTAGTCCAACAGGAGAACAATCTTGCTGCTAAGCATGCTCAAAAGAAGTATCAACAACTCCATGATAATTTCTTGTGCATAACATCAGAAAGGGATGCATTACAATTGGTAAACCAGGAGTTAAACAGTAAGATCATTGAACGTCAGAAAGCCCAAGAGTCTGTTATGGCCCAGCTTTCAGAAGAATGCCGTTTATCAGGAGAGAGAATCCAGAAGTTGGAGTCAGAAGCCGAAAGTCTGGTCTCAAAGAAGACTGAAGCAGAAAAGTTGGTTCTAAAATTGGAGGAAAAAATTGACACATTGTCCGAAAGTTCAAGATCGTCGGAGAATAAAATGGTCTGCAATATTAATTTAAATTCATATTTCTCTATTTGAGCTAGCCTTGTAGCTAACATAAACCTTTTTTATGTCCTATAGCAAGATCTATTGCTGAAAATTTCTGCACTGGAAATGGAGAACAAAGATAATTCAGAGAAAATGCAAGCAGAGATACAGGGAAAAACAGAAGAAATTGATAATTTGGAAAAGGAGTGTGGGAAACATGAGATGCAGGTAGATTCTTTGGAGAAACAAGTTGGTCAGCTGCATGTCATGGTAGAGGAAAAAGAATGGCTTATCCTGCAATATAAAGAAAGAGAAAAGAAGCTGGAAGATCAAATTTCAGAGGTTTAGGAAACAGTTACAGAATATGTAAATTTGAAACTCTTATACAGGCTTTCATATAAGTTTAAGATTCTGTACGCTTCTGCAGAATCAGGCAATGCTGACAGCTGCTGAAAGTAATCTTGTGGAAGCCAGGAAGCAATATGATGTGATGCTAGAAAGTAAGCAGTTGGAGTTATCTAGACATTTGAAAGAAATATCTCAGAGGAATGATCAGGTATCATTTTTTTTCATCCATGCCATATGAATTCTTAAAGATTTTGGCAACCAGATTGATATTCTGAGGAGTTTGCTTAGGCAATTAATGACATACGAAGGAAGTACGAAGTACAGAAGCAGGAGATTGTTAAACTGGAGAAAGAGAAGGTTTGCTCTTGATTGTTGTATGCTGCAATACACAGAAAATACTGGTTCTCACCTACTTTAACTTTCAGGCTGACAAAGTTGTTGGAGAAATGGAACAGAAATGTGACCAGAAGGTTGCAGAGTGCAAAGAAGAATCAAGGCTGCACTTGTTGCGCATTCAAGAGGAAAATGCTGCTTTAGTATGGCACTGAAAACTAGTGCAAACTTATAATCAAGTTGTTTGTCATTCTCTTTCAGCATATATGAGCTGTGGTATTGCTAGTTAATGCTGTTGTTTTGTAATACACTGATAAAATTTGTTTATTTCATATTATAATTTAAAATATGTTCGTGCGCATCTATGATAGTGCAGTTTATAAATATGAATTGCACTTGTCTTTTAGGTCACTCGTCTTCTGCAGGAGCATGATAGAAAGGAACTAAATCTCAAAGCTGACCACCATGAGGAGCTAAAATGTGCCCAACTTCAGGCAGAAAATGAAATCAGAGAGGTATTTACACCATTAAGTTTTAATTTTGAATTATTTGTAGTAGTAGTAAAATTGTATTTGATATGCTGATAGTTTAAGAATTGGACTAGAAAACAACATTTCTTTGGAATGAACATGAAGCTCAGATCAAAGCTTTGAGGTGTCAATTTGAAGATGAGTGCAGAAAGCTTCAGGAGGAGTTAAGTCTCCAAAAGTCCAAAGTATGTATTTGCTGCACCTTTTATATTAATTGATATAATATGTGCTCTGGACTAAGTTTATGTTAATATGTTGCAGGAAGACAGGCAGAGGGCTCTATTGCAACTCCAGTGGAAGGTGATGGGTGACAAACCACAAGAGGAACAAGAAGTAAATTCGAAAAAGGTTGGCTTGTTTCTTTTATAGATTGCTCATTCTCTCTCTCATCCTGTGCATGTATGTAAAGAATGGAACATACCATTAACTGTCACATAAACAATTTCATGTGGTTCAAATGTGTAGATACTGAAACCTCCATTGTGCAATAAGTTATAGCTAGGCTTTTCAATGGTCATTTTTACCAGAAAATTTCATTGAATCGTGTTTGTACTTTTGAAGACAGTTTGTAAGTTCTGGCATTGACTGGATTTACTTTTCACCGTATATCGAGCATGGCTGGAAGCCTGGAACTGTATTTCTCTGCACAATTGGCTGAATCTGTGCTTTTGGAAAGGGAAAGCACATGAGGATGGAAATGAAGGATGGTAGAATAGAAGGCCATGTATGATGTGATTGTCACCCGTATCACACTTTGTAGATACCATTGTGGCAGCCAAGATCATAGCTTAGAGTTTTATGCTGAGACGTTCCACACAGACAAAATGGACTAAAACACAAACACACCGAACACATATACTGACAAAAATAGATGCATAGTTGGCAGACATAGATCTTCTAGTTCTTGTTATAAGCTATTTGAAGTCAGAAACCTTACCTTGTATGCTTTGCCTTGGAGTAGGTTAAGCATATATTAAATTGCAATTACATATGTATTATAACACATCATCTAAAATGCCATCAATTTGATAAATTACTTTCCTTGCAGGATTATTCCATTTCTTCAATCAAGATGAGAGATTCTGATGGTGGCAAAAGAAGTCAACGAGCTCTAGTAAGGCCAGAGAACGAAGAGAAGGTAACAAATAGCACTAAATCACTTTGACTCGTTAAATGCTGAGACAAAATATACAAGTCGACTAAATTGCTTTCTATATTGTCTGCAGGAATCACTGTAATATACAAGGCACCTTAATTGTCTTTTTATATTGTCTACAGGAATCACCATTCCCAGGTGTAACACAAACACCAGTGTCAAAATTGTTGAAGAAAGTAGAAAATGCCAACACAGGAAGTGTAATGAGCATTCCTAAGCATCATAAGAAGGTGCAGTACTTATCTGCTGCTTTCTCCATTTTTCTTTCTATTTCCAGTTAGGTTGGGAAAAAGGATGAGACGAACATTCAACTTTTGTACTTACTTGGCTACTGGGTCATGACACATCCTCCGAACCTCCTTAGGCTTACCTTTTGTCATGTCAGGTAACTCACCATGAATATGAAGTTGAAACTACTAATGGAAGAACAATTACAAAACGAAGAAAAACGAGGAGTACAGTCTTGTTTGAGGTTTGTCCCTGATACCATATTGACAGATGAAAAGCATATATCCTTGGTAGACAACCTATGCGTGATATAGGTTGGTCAGTGGTGTTGTAGATTCGTATATACACACACACACGCACAAAATCCATGCTGAATTTCCTTGTCTGACATTACATCAGGATCCAAGGAAACATAAGAAGGTCCGTACACCAAAAGCCAATACCCCCAGAAGTTTTGTCAAGGTACTCAAAAGCTGAAGAGTAGTTCCTGGATCTTAGTCGTATTTCAAAATCATTTGCGCCTTTCTTCTCTAAGCATGACTGCTTGAAAGATTCATTTTATGCTTGGCAGAAGAAAAAAGAAAACTCAAAACTGGCTAAATCATTAAGGGATCAACAATTAAATTTACATTCTTTCATACCTTTCCCCATATTTTAGAATTCTCACTATTCTGCTTTTGATAATGATGTTGCTAAAAGAATTATAGGCTGAGCATAGATGAGTTGAAGATTTTGTTCTTGCTGGATTTGGTTATGTGAGTAGCTTCTTAGTGGATTCCATTAGAAATGGTAGAAGAAACAAATTTCTGTTCCTCTTTAGAAGAGGTATGGCCTGCACCTAACGAATTAATAACCCTCCTTAGAAAATGCTGAAGCCCAAATATTTAGCATTAGTAGGATCCTGAGTGTATGATTAACCTAAGACAAGGAATTAGGGCAAGACTTGTTAGAAATGGAAAGAAAATAAGATAAAAAATAAATAACATAGAGTAACTGTTTATAGTAATGACCTATGACCAGTTGTATCAGGATATGCTTGACTGTTTAAATCACAGTGTGATTCCTTCCCCATATTAGAGAAGCTCATTACTGATACATTTCTCAAGCAGGGAACCAAGGGAAGTCATCCAAAAGCTTCAAACATTGGTGATTTGTTTTCAGAAGGTTCTCTAAATCCTTATGTGGATGACCCATATGCATTTGATTAAAGGTACTGTCAATTATCTATTCTAGCAATGAACTTCTAAATAAGATGCTTCTTTTTGTTTTTCGTTCTATACAGTCTTTGGAATAGTGGAAACTAGCTTCCTTTGCTCTTCATAGGCAATTGAATTTGGTGAATATTTGGAATGGAATGTTGCTTTCATAAGATTTATGTTGTCACACCAACCATTTTGTAGTACCTAAAATACTCCAAGTGATTTACTTTTTGATTCTGCCTTTCATTCTGCCCCAGTAGGCTGTTAAGAATTTGAATTTAAAGTTCACATGGCAGCCTTGATTGGTTGGGTGGCCTGTCCTTTTGGGTTGGTTTAGCATCACATTATCCGAAAGGGATAAAACCTAAACTGTTATAAGTATTCAAAAACATACCATGTTTTCATTTTTCCACCAAAGCGTTGGCTCATCTAGATTTGACTGTAAATTTGCAGGACTAATGTACATGATATTGGCACCCGAAAGCAGCCTTAGTTTTGTCCATTTCAAAAAGCTTTTTCACATGGTTCACTGGACAGTAAACAGCTTGACATCGCAGTGGAGATGCATTCCATCATTCTTTTCCGTAGTTCCCCTTGCAAGAGGCATATGATTTGGTCTGATTTTGTGCAATTTCAGCTGAGACATTTCAATGCTACAATCCGGGATGGAAACTGCGTTGTAAATATAAGACGCATAGGTCTGCGTGGCAAAGAAAAGTACGTAAGAACTTTTGTGCCGTGTAAGTAGACACTAGTCCTGGTGAAATCAGGTGATAGACTGATAGCTACATGTTTTTAGCATATGTGGAGCTTGTTTACCCTGAACGAGCAATTAAATATCCGTCATTTGTGAAGTTTTTTTGCCTGAAAATACAAATCTGAGGTGGTCTAGTTCACTGTTCACTTGACTGGGCGTATGGAATTGAAAAGTTGGGCATGCAGCAAGTAGGTGGGAATAGGTGGGTCGTGGACCTTGTGGTTACATCGTTTATAATTCCTTTGAGGTACCTACTACTAAAGTTTTTCAAAATAATCCTTCTCAACCCCTCTCATTTTGCGTTTCTGACTTGTTCTGGGACCTTAAGTTCCCTGCTGCGTTCATGCCGTTTACTTAACTGATCAGCATATTATAATGCCGTTTACAAAATCAAAATTTCTTTGGTCTGGTTCTTTGGTGAACCTTTTTTGAGGTTTGTTTAGCCCAGCAAGTCTGGATAGAAGAGGCATCGAGTCAGCTTCTTTTTTATTTTTCCTATAATTTGAATTTGTGTTCTCAAATTACCAAGTACTAATTTCTGCAAGCAAAACAATAACAGCTAGGCCTTTATGGTGAACATAACTCAGCAAAGAAGGTTTCTTCTATATTCCTTTTATTTGTTTTATTGTATATATGCACGAGACTTTAAGTTAAAACCATTCGCGCGGTTTTAGTTCAGCTAGCTGGGCATTTCCTTTCCCTTCTTCTCGTGGCACCATCTTTTTATTCCTTCGTGTGAAAAAGAGTAGTATTATTAATTTGTTTAATTCAACCAACGGGCTTTGGATCGTTATTAAATGCATGCAAATAGTAATAATCTTTAAATTAATATCCTAGTTTCCTCGGATAAACTAGCGGAATAATTGTTATTGGATTCATTATTGAGGTTAGATATTCAATCGCAATCCAAAAGCGTGTGCTGCAGTATCAATCTGACTATGGCTACTGCTAAGATAAATTACTCCAACATATGGGAATAAAACACGTCTACAAACTCCCAAAAATAAAAAAATAGAGGAAGAAAGGAAAATAACCAAACAGAGCCGAATGCATTCTTCCCTATTAGCCTTATGAACGAACTTGATGAAATTGGCAATCATTGTAGCATAAAATTGAAATGTCGTAGTCCGAACAAACACAAAACAACAAAGTAATGATGAGTAAATTTGTTTGGCAATTTATCTCACACAAACAACTAAATTTTCTTCAAAATGGATTCAATGTTCATATTCTAAGTGACTGAACATTTTTAAAAAAGGTCGAGCTGTAGCTAGTTTGTTCATTGATTACCAAAAGGAAGATTCATCAGCAAAGAGGAAGAAATCGAATGCTAGCTTCATAAAGAAACTGGAAATCAACATAACCAAGATGAGTTGAAGAATCAACTCCATCACTCCACAGAGTTTGATTTTCTTGATCTTCAGTCGCTCCTTCACTAACTCCACCCTCAGATTTTCAATCTCTCTCCTCATCTTCTCCTTTTCCTGAGCGTCGAGTGACGAAAAACAAAAAACTTAAAGAATCTGAACCTTAAAAATCACAAATTTGAGCAAAAATAAAAAAGAAAAGAAAAGAGGAGCAAATTGAATAACCTCGTCTTCGTCATTGTTTGCAGCTTCGAAGACGCGAGTCACGGATGATTTCAGTGAAGAAAGCAGAAGCGCAGCTTTGGCACAGCGAATGGCGATCTGCACTTTGCGAGCCTCGTCTCTGGTTTTCTCTTCAATTCCTTCCATTCTCTCTCTCTCTCTCTCTCAGTTTATATAAATGAATTTGAACTCTGATCTTAAATAGTCTCGAGAAAGCGAGGGAAAACCAAATGATTAATAACTTTTTTCTATATACCAAAAAAATAATAATTTTCTAAACCATCACTAAGCCATTAATTGTGAAGAAGGGCATTCTTAATCGACACTCCTTATCGCAACCATTTCGTAAACTTTTCTGACAGATTATAAATTTAATACTATGAGTTTGCTGACTTAATTGCATTACTGAAAATAAAGGGGTAGGATGAGCAGCGAGTACGTATGTCGCTGTACCAAGTGTTTCTTTGGAAAGCGCATTAAACTTGGCAGTTTGATTTAGCCAAGAGGATTCGTACATCATCTTTATTTTTTTGGGATAAAGATAATTATAATTCGGTCAAAGTATTCTATTAGGGCTATGAAATATTTTTATAGCACTGGTATTTGATTTTGTGGGCGGGCAGCCTAGGCAACGATGCCCGATCGAAGTGGCATGTTTGGGGAAAGGACTATACGGACTTTTGAAGATGCAGAATAAAGCAAGATTAAAAAGGAAACAACCAGAAGAAGAAGAAAAAGGCAGCACTTCCTTCACTCTGCTATTTTGAAGCAAATTTTAGTCATAAGCAAGTTTATCTTACACTTCCTTTATATGATGATCTTTTCACTTTAGTCTAAATTCATTGAGAAAAGAAATGAATGGAAGTTAAAACCACTAGGGATCCTTTGAAAAACCACCACTATTTCGCTGCTGCAGCGACTAACCTTTCAGGAGGAGAGATCAGATCTCTACAAATCAACAGAGGAATCTTTAATTGGCAATCAACAGAGGAATCTTTAATTGGCAATTTTCTACAGTTCATGGAGAAGGTTGCAAACCTTGGAGAAAATGGGGGAGTTGTTATTAAAAAGACAGATTCTGCTTTGTTAAGAATAAATGAAATACAGACATCTATTTGACAATAAAAATAGAAAACCAGGTATAATTTTATGTCTGGCAGTTCAGTGTTTGCATGTATATGGGTGGGTATTTGCCTGAGGTTGGAATCATGACTTTTGAGTTTGTCCAGGTCTAGAGATGTAAAGCTGGAATAACATCAAACACACACAAATTCTAGACTGAAAGTGATAATTGGTGCTGCCATCTCTCATTCCTTCTAACATGACAATTGCAATACTAGTCTTCGAAAACCAAAAGAAGGATTTTGAAGAGAAGAGGAGGAGCTGATATAACAAATGACCGCAGCAGAGACAAAATCAATCAGACCATAACACAAAGCAATTCTTATGAAAGATAGAATACTTTCATTAAAGGAATACGGCCCACATGTTTAGGTTCAGGATTCAAATCTTCAACCACTAACTGTGCCCTCTGATCAAACTCAGGCTACAGCCACAAGTTCAGAATCATAACAACACAACATAAAAGCTTACACTCAACTTAGAGATTCTGCACCTCAAATTTCATGATTTCTTTGAATAGGTCATGACAATAAAAAAGTCGCACATCCCTCACTTATATAAGGGCAGCTAGAAGTATAAAACAGCAAGACATCCAATAATATCATTTCCTTGGTATACTTGGATCAAAATAGCCTGTCCTATATTCAGCTATTGTATAGTCATGCTATTTCTATATTAGTTTGAATTCTAAAACATTCCTTGTATATTTCACCACATTAAAAATTATTTAAAGCACTTTTAGGGGTATCAATGCATGGATGTTCCTAACACTCACCAGTAATACTTGATAAAAAATCAATTACATGTATTAGCTCATAAGTACAGTTAAAGCCATGATCAGAAAAGCTCATATTGGTGGGGAGCTCAGGCTCAACCTGTTTTTATCTATCACATATTGAACTTTCAGAAAAAAAGAAAAGCTCATATGATATATGCATGTAAGTTGCCAAGCAACAATTTGTGTACAATTTTTTACATTTGCAGACCGTTTGTCCAAAAAATTGTAATTGTAATTGGTCAAAGTACACAAAATATATGATGCTTAAGACAATTTTTTGATCCAGATGAGACAATTGGTAAAATTGTCGGAAATCACCTCCTCATAATACTATTTTCCCACCAAAAGTTCTGTCCAAATTCTGAAAATTATCAACGTTCATAATGTTCTCAAGCCTGCCTTCTGATAAGCAACTATACTGTATCTAGGTGGAGAAATATCGCCTCATTCAAGCCTTCCTATTCCAATCCTTATAAAGTTCTTTAGGGAAGTCCTCCATGAACTTGTGCCTTTTCTTGGCCCTCCTTTGCCCTGCCTGAAATTTCCACCAATATTCAAACACAATAGCAGAAGGGGCGCTAAGAATTCTTGTGATATGAACATATACGAATATCTAAAGTAATATCATGCACCCTATTATTGTTATGGCTAAACGGATTTGTCTTACACATCTGATACCTTAGTTTTCATCAAATCCTTTAACTTGAGAAGCTTCTCATGATGTGCTCCTCTTTCTTCATGTACCATTCCTTGGATAAGTCTGATCGTGGCTGGATGGCAGGATCATGAAGAACTCTGTTTCTGTTTCCACCAAAACTAAAACAGTGAGCAATTCCTGAAATCAAAGATTTCGAGTTCAGCACAAGAATGTTGTGTGTTAAATAAACCACACTACAGGGAAAAGAAATGTAGTTGATGGCATAATTAATTCTCAAGTCAGCCAAGAATACACCATTAAACTATTTTAAGTTTGAGCTTATAACATTTGTATCAGATAATGAATGAGGTATTTTCCATCAGCAGGTAATATATAAACAGAATAAAATGAGGTGAATGCCAAATTAAAGAGCACAAAATTTACCTATAGCACCAATTGCATCAAGATGATCAGCATCTTGCACAATCCCAAATTCAGGGAAAAATTCATGGTTTCCGAGCCCTACAAGTTCATCTTTAAAACCTGAAAAAACCAAGGACATCTGTCATAGTTATATTTTAAATATGAAGCAAGGAGTGCATGAGAAAAGGGTACTTAGAATACTCATGAAGAGTTACATGAAGAAGCCTACTTAACATTCAACGATTGCATAAGATAAAATTGAAAACATGGCTCCGGAGGTTCATTGCCCTTCATCAATACTTGCATCATCAACTAAGTCTTTGTCAGTTTTGTCTCTTTCTAGGGTAAATAACAATTCACTTGATCTGATTGACCACATTATAAGGAGTGTGGAACAAACAAAAATTAGAAATAGATCAAATATAAGAATTTCTACTTTGACTGATATCAGTAATCTAGTAGAATTCAAAGGAAAGTTATGTGTCGATCATAAAAAGAATCTTTTAATTTGGATTGACAGCTTTTACTAGTTACAAGTCAGTTATGAGCTATGACAGTTACGCCTATGAAAGTAGCTAAAATATTACTGAAATAAGTTCAAGTTCAAGAAAAGAATCTGTTGACAAAACCCTCAAACCTGCACTAAAAATACCCACATCGAAATCTCTACACGAGAAACTCAAGAAAAAAAAAGGCAAATAAACCCAATGCTACATACCCAAAACAAACCAAGAAACGCACAGGCACAACATGCTCAGGGAACAAAAATGGAAACAGAAATATTCAGTAAAGAAATGAGACGTAAAGGAAAAGACTAAAAAGGAACCTGAAGAAGAGAAATAGCATAGTTGATGTAGTTTCGAATAGCGCCTCCGGAATTGATTCGGATCTCATTCTCGTTAATGGGTGGTTCTGGCTTTGACTTCTCTACTTTCTGGTATCTATCCATCGGCTGTTTGTTGGAGGAGATAGAGGGGAAGGGGAGGGGAAGAATACCCTGATTAAACCCTAGCAGATGAGCGAAACAGCAAAGGGAAAGAGAGAGGGTAAAGGCTTTAAAACTCTTTCCTTGATAAAATCATTGTAGTTTAGATGATACGTTAAAAAGAAAAATCAGAACCAACAGAAACTGATGTAATATATATATATATATATTTCAATTTCTCTTATATTTCTATCTTCTGTTTTTAAAGCCAAGAAACTAATCAACAAAAACATAAAGAAATAAATATAAAGGTGAAGGAAGTGAGAAAAGAGGGAGGAAACAGAAGGCAAAAGAATAAGGAAATATGAAAGGAGGGTTGAAGAGTGTATTTGGTAGGAACATTTGTGGGTTCATTTGGCGTGTATTCGAAGACAGAGTCATCCATTTAATAATACTGAAATGAGATAGTGAGAGCGCGACTGAGAAAAAAACGAAAGAAGAATTTGTAGGACCTATGTTTGACCCTTCCATATATAGCCTTTTTTTGTCATTATTTTGGCTGTAAATCCATATCTGATTCTTCCAGGCCTTTTCTTTTCTCTCCCTTTCCCCAAATACTCCAAATCCCAAAAACACTTATAATTTCTTCTGTTTTTTTTTTTTTTTCTCTTAGTCACTCTCTCGCTGTCTCATTACTGTTAGTAATATGCTTGTATCCTTGATCTTAAAGTCAAAATGGGTTCTCAAGACTCGAAGGAATACGAAATGGCGGTGACTCTTCCATCAAATACGCCAGTGGAGGGATGCGAAATCAACCCAGACGTTCGTGTCAACTACAGAGCATTTCCTGCTCTTCAACCTCTTCCTCCATATTCCCTCACTTTCAGCTGGTTCTATCTCTTTTCTCATGTCCTTCCTATCTTTATATTAATTTCTTTGTGTTGTTGGTTTCTTGGCTTTGAAAATAGAATACAAGCAGAGTTTTTGTTGTGGCTTTCTTTTTCAATTGGTTTGTCCGAATGAGTCACTTACTGAGAACTTTTGTTAGATAAGGAAGAAATATAAGAGGAATCGAAATATATGTTGCATGAGTTTTTGTTGATCCTTGATTTTTTTTTTTCTTTCAATGGATCCTTTATTATGAAAAGAAACTTCAATTTTCGGTGTGAAGGCCTTGTTCCCTAATAGTAGTTGCAGGCGTCTGGTCATGTATTGCACATTTGTCATCATATATATGTGAAAAAAAGTTGGTTGAGTCTTCTAATCTTGTTTGACTTAGGTTATTTCTCAAGGGTTTACGTTAGGTGGATTGATTTTTATGGTTTTCCAATCATTTGTATACCAAACTGTTAAAAGTAATCAGATTCTCTCTTCTTCACATATGGGGCAAGAGCTTTATTAAAAGGATTAAGAAAATTGTGTTTTCAAGTTTCCTGTTGTTTTGGAACCAAATTCCCTATCGACAATTTGACATGCATCCCCAGATGTCTAAACAACCAAAAAAAAAAATAAAAATTCTATCATCAATGTTTTAAAATTCTTGTACGAGAAGAGGATGTATTTTTGGATTGTAAGGAATATTGATTTGTTTCACATTCCACCATCATATGACATTGAAGTGGAGGTGGTTTCTAAATTCTAGGTATCGTGAGGTGGTTTGCTCTGTGCACCCTTCTAAGTTGGCTACTGTTCAGTGTATGTCCTGTGTAAAGCTAGAGATTCCAGTTGACCAGAGTTATCATTGCTCTTCGCAGTGCTTCTTAGATGCATGGCAAATGCATGTGAAGCTTCATAGTCATGCAGTTAAAACGGAAAAACAGACTGCAACTGGTGGTCAACAAGAATTAAGAAGGCTTAGGAGTTGTGGCTCATGGCCAGACTTCAGTGCCGACCAATTATTTGGTGAAAATACACTGGTGGTAGAGCGAGAAGGGAAAGTATGGATCAAGGTGGGCTCTTCTAAAACTTATAAACCTTCTAAAGAAGATGTTGGCTTCACTCTTAGGCTGGAATGTGTGGCTGTGGACTATGCTGAGGGCACTCAGTTGGCTCCTATCAATATCATAGTGACTGATCCTGTGATTACTTTCCCTCCTCGTTGTCCTCGCTGCATGATTGAAATTGGAAGTTATATGAAATCTCATAACATCCATTTCAAATCCCAGACTTCTGATAGTTTAACATTTAGTGTGCTATCATATAATATCCTTGCTGACATGTACACTGGTATGGGTAAGTACAGTTACTGTCCAAGTTGGGCTGTTGTTTGGGAATACCGCAAGCAAAATTTGCTGCAAGAGATCATTGGATATGATGCTGATATTATTTGTCTTCAGGAGGTGAATTTCTTTTTTACTATTTTGCATCTTTTGAAAGAATATGGTTTTGGATCATGTATGCCTTACATTATTTAACTTTTTAAGATTGTCTAACATGCCACTTCGTAGGTGCAAAGTGATCATTTTGAAGGTTACCTTCAACCTGAGCTGATGAAATGTGGTTATTCTGTTATGTACAAGAGGAAACGAACAGAGGTAAAATTTTTGAAACTCTGAATTTTTTTTTTTTTCTGAAATGATGCTCTGTTAGGAAACATTTTTAAGCTCTCATGAAAAGGTACAGGGTTGAAGAAGTAATATCATATAACCTTTTCTAATCATGGCTTAAACTGTACTTATGAGCTAATAAATGAATTTGTTTTTTAATCAAGTATTACTGGTGAGCGTTACGAACATGCATGCATTGATATCCCTAAAAGTGCTTTAAATATTTTCAATGTGATGAAATATACAAACAATGTTTCAGAATTCAAACTAATCTAGAAATAGCATGATTATACAATAGCACAATATAAGACATTTGATCCAAGTATACTAAGAAAATGATATTATTGGACGTCTTGCAGTTGTATACTTCTAGCCGCCATTATATAAGTGAGGGATGTGCAACTTTTTATCGCCATGATCTATTCAAAGAAATCATGAAATATGAGGTGAAGAATATTTAAGTTGATTGAATAACTTTTCATGTTGTGTAGTTATGATTCTGAACTTGTGGATGTAGCTTGAGTTTGATCGCAGGGCACAGGTAGTTGTTGAAGATTTGAAACCTGAACTCAAACATGTGGGCCATATTCGCCTAATGAAGGTATTATATCTTACATAAGAATCACTTTGCGTTATGGTCTGATTGATTTTGTTTCTGCTGCAGTCATTTGTTGTATCAGCTGCTCCTCTTTTTCTTCTAAATCTTTATTTTTGTTTTGCAGGACAATGTTGCACTTATTGTCATATTAGAAGCAATAAGAGATGGCAGCACCAATGATGACCTTCAGTTTAGAATTTGTGTGGTACAGTATGTATTTGATGTATTCCAGCTTTAAATCTCTTAATCTAGGCAAGCTCAAAAGTCATGATTTCAACCTCAGGCAAATACCCATATACATGCAAACACTGAACTGCCAGACGTACAATTATACCAGGTTTTTATTATAATTTTTTTTCAAATATCTGCATTTCTTTTATTCTTTAAACAAGCAGGATATATCTTTTTAATAATAACTCCCACCCTTTCTCCATCATCAAGGTTGCAAACCTTGTCCGTGGACTGGAGAAAATTGCCCAATCAAAAATTCCTCTATTGATTTGTGGAGATTTGAACTCTCCTCCTGAAAGGTTAGTCTGCTGCTGCAGTGACGTAGTGGTTTTTTTTTTTTCAAAGGATCACTAGTGGTTTTGAGTTCCCATTCATTTCTTTCTCAATGAATTTAAACTAAAGTGAAAATATTATCATATAAAGGAAATGTAAGATAAACTTGCGTATTACTAAAATTTGCTTCAAAATAGCTGAGTGAAGGAACTGCTGCTTTTTTCTTCTTCTGGTTGTTTCCTTTTTAATCTTGCTGCTGCCCTTTTATTTTGCATCTTTATGAACATGATATTGTGAAAAATAATAGATAAGTTCCGTATAGATCTTTCCCAAGCTTTATGGGAAAAGCGCTATGTTTTGTATTTTATAAAATTTTCATATTCTGAATTTGTTTATACATATAGATATAAATACAAAGGTCAATGTCTAATTCATAATTAAATGCCACAGTGATCCTCATATGCTTCTTGTTAGAGGCAGAATCAATTCTGTTTCTGGGGAGAGAACTGATCCATTGGGTATATATCAGATTCTCAAGCTTGAACACTCATTGGCTCTGGTAAGATTATTGTTTATATTCAGAGAAACCTATATTTGGCTCGTATTTCTGACATAATCGCAGCCATATATGCTTAGATCTCACTTATTTGATGTATCTAGGTTTTGTTTCCCACCCCTTTGCAAGCATGCCATAGGAAAATTTAGAATTTACTTCTCAGATGTTATTGGTAAGCAAATGAATATATACATTTTCCTATGCTTTCTATTTTCTTAATTTTTGAGCTCATATAGTTGCCAAACAAGTTTAAGGCATGATTCATTCATATTGCCTTTCACAAACCTTATGGGCTTCTTGTCTGACCAGTTTAGATCTGGTCCCTGGAATATAATTAATTTGTATGAGTACTATTTTTATTTGCTAATTGATATAAATTGATGATCTAGTATTGTACTCTATCCATCTGTGATTGGAAATAGAAGAGCCCCCTTCTTCTGTATTTACTTTTTGTTGGTGTCGCTGCTTTTGTCCTCATGATGAATTATCATTTTCACTCTCATTGAACTTACATGCTCATGCAGGAAAAGTTGTTTTACAGGCTAGTGCATATGCATCATTTTTCCATTTGAGAGGGATTGATGAAAAACAGTTCAATAGGATGAGCCTTGAGAACCATGAGCCTTTATTTACCTACTTCACTTCGGGATTTGCTGGAACCTTAGATTATATTCTCTACACAGGTATACTTTGCCCTATAATTTGAGTTACCTTTGATCAATTGGTTGACCTTGCAAAGTTTTTTCCAATTCATAACTCTCTTTCCTTTGACCATTGTGTTGTTTACTATTAAAGTTTGCAATGCCAAAATCTGCTCTTATTATTTTTGCTTAATTGACAGGGTCATTTAAAGTTGGTTAGATGATATTCTCTTAAAATTTTACAGTTGTGAATGTTTATTCATCAGCTTAAAATGCATTGTTATGTGGCTCTTAAATAACATTTTCAGGAAAAACAAATCTACTTGTATTAGTTGTTATATAGTAAGATAACATCAATTGTAGTTACATGTTCAGCAGCACTTACCAAGTTATCCTGTGATTAAGATGCACCAATCACATTGAGCCTTGTGAATAGTTGTTGTGATGTGCCGTTTATTATTGGTAACTAGGGGAAAGGGAGAGTTTCTTTGCTAAAAGTGGCTTACAAAGTTAAAGAAGTAGCAATTCTTAATTTGGTGCCCTGGGAAACTGGGTAGATGCACTTACCTGAGATATGGGGAGAGGAGGCTTTTGAGCATGACTTTGTAAGTAGGTAGTTGTTATAAGCAACTCTTAATACATATGATTTAATTGAAGAATAACTCAATCATGAAGGAGCCTTCATGTAAAAATCTTTGGCCTGGCATGGTGACTTATGTTATTGGTTTTTCTTTTATTGAAAATTAATGCTTTTTCATTCATGTATGAAAGAACAAATGCTGAGGTAAGACCTTGGCCTTTGTTTTAGGCACTAGGCTTCCCTCAGCATACATTCGTCAATGACTTTACAATCTGAAGCACACGGACACACAGTGAGGAGCACTCCCACAATTACATAGATCCCCAGCACTTAATCCTGTCCCCTGCCTCAAACCCTTGTATAGGCATTTGCCAAAACCAAAAACTCCTACCCAGACCCTTGGTATAACAAAAACAAACACCTGCAAGGCCTTCAGTACAAAATACCCCTGCACTATATCTAGTGCAGATGACAGATAAAAACATATACCTGACTCTACATTTTCCCTGCAACTATTCTTTTGTTTTAAAGTGAGATCATGTCCACCATAAGTCTGCTCTGCAAGCCCCAAACACCAAGGATATTTGTAGATTGAATAACAGCACCAAGGATATGTTTTTGGTTAGATGAGCACCTACTTTTTAATCTCTTTAGATTCACTCATTCTATATGGTATTGATGGTTGCTTTTTTGTCAGAATTTAGTTTCTTTTTAGACAGGAAATTTTAGTTTCATCATAGATGCTTTTTTTCTTTCACAATAAAAAAGAACTCATTGTTATCTGGATTTGCTGGGAAAAAATTTGGTTTCAGCACATGCATGAACTTTTCAAATTCTTATAAATTCGAATCCTACAAAACATCAAGAAATTAGGACTTCAGGTTGGAAATTTTGCCACAGTTACCTCTTTCTTGGTCTCTGTTTCTTACATATCAGTTGGGGATCATTATCCTATGCATTAATTAAGATTTTGTAAACAGGAATAGCCTTGTTGGATAACCTTAATTCTTTTGATTTTTTATGTTCTGATACGTTTAAAATAGTCCAACCAGTTTTGTTATTACTGGATTGCTGGAATGCTTTTGGATACTGCACAAAAGAGAGGTATCCTAGTTGATTGTAGATTATATAGTACTTAAGGTGAGTTCTTTTCATCTTCCTGAGCAGAGTAATAAAGGCTTTTAGGAGTGAATTTTGCTAACCATCTCTTATGAATGAAATTTTCTTAACATAGAAAAAAGCTGCTAGGAGGATCTTAAATTGAATTGAGCAACAATTAGACACCTCCAAACAAATTGTTCCTTCAAATCTGAGCAGAATTATATCATTTCCACGTGCCATCAAAAACCCTTGCATTTAACTTTGGTCAGCCTAGAAAGTGAACTCTGTCCCCTTGAGAATGACCATAGTCTGTTTTGTGAATTAGGAGAGACCCTTTGGGCATGATGGTTGGCTATTCGGTGATGTTGGAGACACATAATTAGAAAAATATGCCCACTTCGCCAGTCTCTTAATTATGACCTTGATCCCTCCACCCCCTCCTTTTCCTGTTGTGGGAAAAATGTTCTCAAACTTTCAGTTTCTTAACCTTCTTTCGAAGTTCATATTCAAAATAATGTAGATGGAGGATCTGGTTATACTCCGTTTCTAGCTGTTTGTTTAAGCTTTGCAGCACAGTCAATGGAATTGTCATAATTTTTTTAGTTTTTTGGTCATCGGTTTTATATTTAAGTACCTTTCTCTGACTAAATAGATGTTTTTCAACAGCGGACAGTTTGAGGGTTGAAGGTTTATTGGAGCTTCTCGATTTTGAAAGTGTGGGTGTTGGTCTTCCGTCACCACTATGGTCATCAGACCACGTTGCCCTGATGGCCAGTTTCAGACTCAAACCGCATTCTGCCTCTGAATCATGGCCAGCTCTTCCTCAGGAGATCTGATAGCAACTAGAGACATGGTAGTAATTACATCTGTATGAAAAATATTAGAAGAAACACAGATTATAGAATCAATCTCAAAACACAGTAGCAGGCAATGTTGTTTACAAGATACTTTCTGGTAGTCTTGCTACCTAATTTCGTAATCCTGTAACTAATACTGATGATTACCTTTGAACTTCTTTTTCCTTTTATCTCTGCCATATGTATGATTTGTCAGCATTCCATACCAGTCTCAATTCATCATTTCTGGGTGAAGTTATTTGGAACTATTTTCTCACCTGGCCGATCTCTGTTGTAGCATGGCAACATGAGAGATGCAACTGAATATTACTAGTGCCTGACATTGTAGTTGTATTTATTACTAGAAAATTTATTAAGGGTTTCTTTACAACTGAAAAACTCTCAAGTTGGCAGCAGAAGAATTAAAAATTTTATTTGGCTTGATTATCCTGTACATAAATTCATATCTACACCCACTATAACCATTCATCCCACAAGTTATAGTAGGTGCACCTATTTCTGATCAATCTTCGTAAACCCATTCAGGCTACTCGTCATCCGGTTATTAGGTTAATTTTGAATTTAACTTCTATTTCCGGTGCCTTTTCTGTCATCTGGATGATCAGAGACTGTTTTACGTTGTAACAGGAAAATGTTTGGATAAACAAAGTGCTGATTATGGAGTGAGACAGGTAAAGGAAATTGAGGTTTCGGTCTGCATTTTAGCTTTATTATTGAAACAGGCAAACCATCAGAGGCAAGAGGGTGCCTTTAAGGGATAGCTATGCATATGCAGAAGACCGCCAGTTAGATTTTAATTGCGAATTGAATAGGTAGAATTCAGTGAGCCACCATTTTCTTACACACCATAGTAGTCGATTGCTTAAACAAAATTAGAAATTTAAAGCATTACCATATCTACATTATACAAGTCAGTACATTCTGTAAGTCAGTTTCTTCTCTTACTCTCTCTCGGTCGAATTTTTTCAAATAATGGAGATTAAGGAGCCCTTATTAATATATATATATATATATATATATTATATATATATATATTATCAGCTAAACCTCTAGACAATACTATTTAGCGTTTGAAGAAGCAGAAATACAAATTTAACGCACGTTGGCTGGAGAGGATATGCTATCCTGAACTTAAAACTTGATGATCGTTGATCCTTACTAGCTAGCACAAGAGACTAAGCCTTTGCCTGAATAGTTTTGGGGGGCCTTGGTCTGGCGGGTGCATGAATTTGCAGTTAGGGCATGCAGGTGCTGACTTGCATAGCATCACCAACATGTGGCACCGCATGCACACCGTGGCTACCATCTCTTGTTGTTTCTGATCATCCTCCTCGACTGCCAACCATGAAAGGCTCTGCGTCGTTAATCCTCCTGATGAGTTGATCTTCTTATCAACTGAATCGCTCCTGGGGCTAACAGAGTTGTGCTTGTCGAATTGGTGATGATCTGTTGCATTAGTTTTTCTCACTGAATCGCATGGTAGGTTTAGCTCAAGGTCTAAGCTCATGTGACCAGGGCTTGGGGACTCAGGGCTTCTCCTCGGATCCTTACAAGTTCTCGTATGGGTCCTTGTATTGTAAAAGTGTATCTGCCCTGACTGAACACAGAGGAAACCAAAACAATACATAATAAGGTTATGCTAACGTTTATGTAACAGTATTTCTACTGCTGAAGCATATATAATTCATCGGAGATTATGGTTAGATATCTTGGAATGTGAATATATAGAAAGTACCTGAATATCAAGACATCTTTGCCACTCCAAAGGTAATGGAGTCTCGAGGTGGAGCTCCATATCAAACACTGATTTTGTGCTTTCTGCTTTTGATCGCTTCTCGAAAGTTTCTTCATCACCTTGTGGCTCATCCAGCTTTCTCTTCTTTGATGAATTCTCTAACTGATCCGGGGTTGTCTTTCTCATGTCCGGAGAGAGAGGGGCTTGAATGGAAACCATAGAATTAACTCCCAAAGCTTTCCGCTCTCTCTTAGTTTCTATTTCTATCTTTTGAGAGAGAGAGAGAGAGTGATCAAGAGAGAGTGATCAGATGTGAAGTGTATAGGTGGTTATATAGGCATGAATTTGGTGGTGTAAGGGCTGGCAAGGCATATAACTGCAAGGAAGAATCTAATAGGGCAAGTTATTGAAGGTAGAAAAACCAAAGAGGGCCTACCTATGCATGACGTGCATTCCAAGTTGGCTCTTCAATTACCAAACACAGCTCCAAGCTGCTGCTGCTATATATTCAAAGCTGGGATGTGAAGTTCTAACTTCTAACCAACCTCTCTCTTAGGTCAATTACAAATGCTTATACACCTGGCTCCCAAAACCCTGCAAATACACATAAAACTTAACTGCTTACGTGACATTACATAATCCAGCTGTGCATTTTCAAGCCATGTCACTGAATCAGAGTCAGTACTAATAAACTCAACTGAGCCAAGCCAACAAGCCAAAAGCCACTCTTAGCCAAAAATATTTTTGGTACTTATGAAAGGCGGTGAGAGGGGCGAAAGAGGGAGAGGTGTGGAAGGAAGGAGGTCATTAAATGTGGAGAGTCTGTATACAGTTGAAGGGGGAAGGTCTTGAATGCCAATGTATCTTTAATAACATAATAACTCCACATTCCACAATTGGGTCACTCAGAGAACTAAAACTTTTAAAGCTTTCAACACCCCCCCTTGGCTATTAAACAAATGCCTTATCTCATGACCTATATGAATTAATCACTCCAAGAACTAAAGCTTTTAAAGCTCTCAACACCCTCAGCTCTATATATGAAAAAGCACAACTAATATCCCATGAGCTCCAATTTATTGTATTCCCCCACACTTCCTTTTCTTTCTTTTCAATTTTTTAGCTCCTTCTTGACAGTACCATACCAATCAAACTGCATTCCATGTCCCAAACTTCCATTTCCTCCTGGAAACTCTCTCTTTATCTTCTTGTACCAGCAAACCAACCTCTCGGGTTATTTTCCGTACGAGTCATCACTTGAACGACCACAAGATCCTCAACGATTTATATATTCTAAGTTCGCCTTTCATACAAAGGAAGGATAACCCTTCTCTTTCCTTGATGCCAAGTAGTATTTAGTTACAACTAAAACGAAATTATAATGGAGTAACTTTCAAATTTTTTATAAATTTAAAATTATATATAAGCTTATACCACTAATATATACGTAACTGTCAGTAAGTAAGAATATATCACATTGCATGCATCTCGTACGTGCCCGTTACATGGGGGAATACCTTTTCACTTGAAAAAGGCAGAGTGGAAGCAGAGAAAGAAAAGAAAGTTAATGGTAAGTTTCTTAGTAAGAGAAAAGATCTAGCATGCGCATGGGGGGTTACACGTTAACTGATGTCCTTAGCCAAATTTCACCAACCAAATATAAATTGGAGAGGGACCCTAAATAGACCAGACAGCAGATGACATAAATACCAACCCATTTCATTACTAGTAGTCAAAAGAGTAGAGAACATTTAACGTCCTTCTTTCCCAAACTAAGGGTATTTTTGTAAGGTGAGCCCCCAATTTGGAAATTAAGTTTGTAGCAAATTAAGGGAAAAATTAATCTCGCACAACAAGAAACAAAAAAAAAAAAAAAGGGGTCCAAAGCCATTAAAGGCATTGAGAGAGAGAGGTTCCAAGTAAGTCTACCTGCCTTCATTAACTCCCATCTTGAATTCACTTAAATGCAGAATTCAAGGATGACCATTGAAAACACCTCGCTTTCTTCAACATCTTTCATCGTCACTCTCACCACCGGTTTCCCTTCGGTTTAATGCTCTCAACCCACCTCTTCTTCCCTTCATTTATGTTTTTGTTCCACTGCTTCAGCTCTTTCCAGCCTCTCTCTCTCTCTCTCTCTCTCTCTCTCTTTTCACGGTTTTAAATCACTTCCCACATATGAGAATAACTGTCAGAATCTACTCTTCTCGCTAATAAATTACGTGTGAATCATTTTGCTCCCCTAGAAAGGATTTTAATCCAGTGTCACTTAGTTACAGAGGGTTCCAGCAATCTTAAGTCCACAAATTTAATGAAAATTAATTGTGGTTTGGACCGGCCGTTGGGATTAGCCGGCCACACCCATTTGCAAAGCACCAGCTGAACCAATTTGACTACTGTATATATATATCCACAACCTGTGGCCCAAAAGGATACGTCAATTCCCCACATTTTCCTCATAATTGGCATTCACATCATATAGCCCTAGCTAGGCTACTTGTTGAAGTTTATTTTTCCAAGAAAAATATGCATTTTATTTATTTGATACAATATAGTTTTAATAGCATGTTATATTAAAATCAATTATTGATTTGGATGTATAAATATTTTTATGGATGCAAACTTGATTATAGCTATATTCCACAACTATGACCAATAAGGATTTTAATTTCTATGTATATTCCCCCCTTTTTGCATCATAGATAGAGTGATTTTTGATGGGGAAACTTAATTTTTTTTGGTTGAACAGTATTAATATTAATAATCAATCATGTCAATACCTTAAATATATAGTTTTTATTGTATTTTATTATAATCAAACATCTTGGTCAAATTAAAAACTAAACCTTCCTTTTAAAAGAAACCAATAAAAGGAAAAAATTTAGGTCTTAATGTAATTAAACCTAGAATAAAAACATCATTGGATATAATGGTGGATTTTGATACAACAATTTCAATAAACTAATGCAAATTGAGATGATATAAAGAGAGACAAAAAAAAAACATAAATGAGATGTAAACATCAATAAAAAATGTTCCAATTGCAAGTTGAATTATTGTATGCTATGTCACTTACTATGTATACTGAAGTGTAGCAGTGGAACGGTGTCAAACAGAATGTAACAAATGTGAGCTGAATTTATATAAGCTACGTTGCTCAGGTGTAAATCTGCTTGTGTGAAGCAATAACGAAGGATAGCCTTCACTGTAATCGTCCTAATTCCATTAAAAAACAAAAAAAAGAAAAGAAAAGAAAAATAGGAGCATTGAAAATTGACGTGCATATCCATCGAAAATAGGAGCATTAATGGTATATGGCCGTATAGGCTCGCCTTGGATAAATTGCTGTAGGAGAGAAATAGAAAATTTGTAGCCTTATAATCTGCAATAAGGGAACACAATTCTATAAAAGAGGCTATTAATGCAGTTGGGTATGGCTTACTAGCTACTAGTTACTTGTATTAATTATAATAAAATAATGATCGGCAGTGATGTTTATG